CACAGATACAGCTGCTCTCCCTCGCTGCATGTGTGCTTGAGTGTGTGCTGTGTGTGGGCTTTTTGCAATATTCAAATTTGGCATACAAATATGGCAAAGCTGGACCAGATTGCGACAATTGTGCAGCTCGCATAGCCATGACTAAGTAAAAGTTCATGTATCGCCGATTGCCCATTGCCAATTGCCAGTTGCCATTGCCAGTCTGCCCAAAACAGGAAACAGCAATGGAAACTCTCTTTAGATTATTCTGCGATCAATCAGTTAAGCTCAGATAACTGCAAGTGTGCATGTAAATGTTGTATAGACTGAAAAACTTAGCTTTGTAGAACTCAAATATGACACATTTCTAAAATTATAACTTTATCCATTTCCGGTTAGCATTTCTCCAATTAATTAATCATTTTGGAATATATTTCTATAGTAAAACGAAAAAAACTCCATTAGATTCATATCTGTTTTTTGTAGAAAATAAATAACTTTCCTCAAAGGTTTTCTTGTTAACTAAATTTTAAAATATATATATATATATACATATATTTTAATATTATCAACAATAATGTTGCTGAATATAATGCTGAATATTAAAACATGACCATTTTTAAATTTAAATACTTTTGATAAAAAAAAGTTTTAAATATTTTTATTACATTTTTTGTATACTTTAAACGTTTTCCAATTTGTGAGAAGCAAACATTTTAAGATATTAAACAAATGTGTGAGCCAAAATAATATTTAAAATAGGTTTTTTTATTTTTTATTTAGATACTTTGAGCCACATTTTTTGCCCAAATTTGAACAGTCAAAGTTTAGTTTAAACTCTTCTTTGTTTTGTTTGTTTTGTTTATTTTGAAGCACATTTTTTGCACAAATTTGCTGGTGCTTGAGCTCTGAACAGCTTAAATGATAAGTTTGCTGAAAAATGTGCTTTCATTTGCTGTGATTGAGTACTTGATGATTGCATAATATGACATCTGAAATGCGTCCAAGTACTCACTTATGCACACTTCAATTGAATTTGGCACATGTTGGCCGACATTTCAAGCCACGTTGAATGGGCTGAGTGTGTGTGGCACAGTTTGCACTAGCGAATGTTGTGTGTGGATGGAGCTAGGGTTAGGGACTTAAGTGCTTAGCATAAAGACAAAGGACAGGTTCTCAGCAATGTTGTTGCTAATAGGCTTCGTTGTTGTTGTTACTGCTGCAGTGTTCCTTTTGTTTTTGTGTCACTTTTAATCTGGAAATGCAGTCGTGTGGGGCAGGCAGAGAAGCAACCTTTATAGGCCCTCCACTATGGGTATAAATTTTGTTAACAGCGGCTATTGTTGTTGCTGTTGCTGTTGCTGTTGCTTGGGTAACCGTCAACGTCAACGTCAACGTTAACGTCCACGTTGCTGTCTTCATTTGCCGTAGTTGTAAGCGCCGCTTGTCGCCGCATTCAATTGTGCCCAATCACATTGCCCGTTTCTGGCCCTCGAGCTGCTTTCGGCCATGCCCTCAGACCCACAACAACAGCAACAACAACTGTTGACAAATGTGCGTCGTTTTTGGCCGTCTCATTGTTGTTGGCAAACTGACTTCAATATGCAAATCTATTGAAATTAGTTGCCAACGTTGCCAAGCAGAGCCAACTCGTCGATCGGCCGCGTTGTTAGCCCGATACGAAGCGTGTCTTGTAGTTGTTGCTTTATTTATTGCTGTTGTTGTTTTTGTGCAATTTGCATGATTTGCCAAAGCCGTTGATGCTGTATTTGCTGGCGCCATTTGTTTATTATCTGCGCCCTGTCCCTCTGGCTTACTGAGTGATCTTGTACCCGGTCTTTTTTTAGTGCTATGATCCGAAGTTAATTGAATTAAAGGCGGCGACAAGGCAGGCCCAAAAACCAGGCTAAAAGCCAGCGTAATTGGCAGCAACAGTTGCAGCCAGTTGGCCAGCTGCTAATGGCCAAGTTTTTAAGTGGAATTCTTCGATAAGCCTCCGCACGCACCAGGCGAGGCACTCGCTATGCTAACCACCTCAACGGCTACCTACCGCACATCGTTAGACCTGGTCTAGACAGAGGTCTGCGTGCTCGGCGTGAACCCTTTTCTTTTGTTTTTGCTCGAAAGGCGATTTGTTGCGCCCCTTTTCGGGCCGCTGCTAAAGGTACAGGCCGTCAGACGCTTACCTTAATTGCCAGCTTGACGCCAGGCTGACGCCAGCTAGACGGCATTAGAATTCCTCCTACTACCCCTGCTCAGTGGCAACTGTAACCGAAACCCCATAATCAGTGACCCCTTCCCTTGTCCCTAACTCCCCTGCTCCTGACATTTAATTGGCACGATTCGCGCGACGCGTCGTCATGCAATTGGCCGCTGGGCGGTCAATTAAATCAAAGCGTTTATATAGTAACTTGTCTTAAATTAAAAAAGAAAACAACAACAACAACAGCAGCAGCAGCAACTCGCTAATTTTTACCCAGCTGCCAGCTCTACATCTATTTATAAGCCCAGCTCGGGCCATGTCAAGTGTGCTCCAGCGCACATCAACCTCGACTTCAAATAATATTTCCCATATACTTTTAAGGTTCTATTTTTGTTTTTTGGGTGCACACGATAAGCACCAAGTACAAGGTTCCCCTTGAAGTTCTGGTTAAGATGCTCGACTCGCAACTATCGCCTTATTCCGTTGGGGTTTTGCCACTTCAATGCCAACTCGTGTGTTCTTAAGTTGCCCAGTACAAAGAGCGCCACAAAATAAATATACTCGCTTGAAAGTGCGTAGCTTTAAGTGTTTTCTTTTGAGTTTTGGCTTGACTTTTGATATCTAAAGTTCAACTCGTTACAATAATTTGTTGACACAACAATTGCGTTCTATTTCGGTTGATACGCAACATTTTTCGAATTATGCAAGAAATTATCAAATATTTAACTACGAGTTTATGTATTGCTGTAATACTTAATATCAGTTCATACTTGACACTTGAAGGTAATACAAGACTCAAGGCTGTATGAGATATCAAGAATATTAATTGTATATAATACATAATATATTTAAATATTAATTTATAGTTCCTTTCACAAGTCAACTTTAATTTTATATAATTTTGTGAAATAAATTTAGTTCTCAAATTGAAGGAGTATTTGAAAAATCTAAATCTAAATCTAAAATCTAACTTCTGCATCTACTTAAATATGTAGACAATAAAGTAAGTGCTCATTGTTACAATTAATGTTCCTGTCACAAGCTTTGTTCTCGTGCAATATACCCCATGAAACGAACACATTTGCAACGCATACAAAGAGTTTTATAAGCACAGCTGCATAGCATAGGCATACGTGCATACAATAGCATATATGTCTATATATATGCATAGTTCTATATATATATAGAATACATGTGCATTGTCCTTGTCAACAGCAATCCGGTGACAAATTGCAGCTAATCAGCAGCAATGGGAACAACAGCAACAGACAACCGAGCAGCGTTATTTCCAGCTTAAATGAGGTTCCGTTTCGACTTTTGTTCTGCGAGGTGCGCTGTGAATCTTATCAATTGCAGAAATTAACATATATATATATAGAGAGAGTATATTATATACATATACATAGCAAAAGTCTATATGTTCTTTGTATAGTATTTAGGTGTTATCAGTCTGTGTGACAATTTTTTAATTGGCTGTCTGTTTTAACATTGTTAGGTCAAGCACCGCATTCGGCATGACAATCTGCCAGTTCGTTGCATGACAATGCAGCCAGCATTAGGGTGCGTCATGATAGATCACACAGAGACAATACCTGTACATAGCGAAGGTGTAAGAATAGTGTGTAGTGAACAACACAGGGACTGATTCATCGGGGGCTATAAAGCTACTTTAGAATGCCAAATCCCGAGAAAGAGCAACTTTGTTTTTAACAAATCGAATGGGCATACTATATTAGGTGATTTCTGACTTCTGATTCATCGGTTTATTGAAATCGAGTTCAAGTTCTATTTTAGCATCCGCTTTCATGGTGCTAGGAGCGGCGAATGTTGGCGCCACTTTGAAGCGAAACAATCAATAAACTTGGCCAAAAATATTTAAGGTGGTTTTTGTTTGTTTTGATTTTTGTCTGATTTTTTTTTTTTTTTGCTTTGAAAGATTTGCTGTTGCTCAAGACAAATAGAAATAATAAAAATTATGCGGAGAGCTACAAAAATGAAATTAATTATAAGTCAAACAAGCATTACAATATTGCCTGGCGCCAGACGCAAATATCATTAACATTTTTATGATCCGGCGTACAACAAAGAACACCACACATACATCTATCAGCTGGCATTACCTGTGCCAGTGCCACACGCACACACGCACACACAGTCTCTCGCCCATGATCATAAATCGCAACTAATAATGTCCAAGTTGTCTAACACCTAACAGCCGCCATAAAGACAAATCGATAGACAGAGAGATAGATACCCGACAAATAGCCAAATGCCCAAATGGCTGAACGGCCGAACGGAGTTTACCTTTCGGGCGTACGTGCAAAATCGATGGATATTGACCAGGCCAACATGATTCGCAGAATTTCGTAGTCTAGTGTTCACTAAGAGCTACAAAATATAGTGAAATGTGTTTGCCGACTGCCGACTGCTGACTGGGCCGGCCCGTGGCCAGACCTCATCTTGATGGGCGTCATAAAATGCAAAATACCGAAAACCTCGAAACGACGTTCAACAACAATTCGGTTAACAGCAAATGGTTTCTATTTAGACCCTAGGCGGCAAGTGCAAATCTTTTGGCTGGATCAGAACCGTCTCACTGACTGACTGACGACCAGCTTGCATTAATTTATCCCGAATAAATTTATCTCACAGCATTTCTGAAAACCAACAAAGTCCACAAGTTGTATGAAACACCTGCACAGCACAGCGCACAAATTTCTAAACAAAAACAAAATTTCTATTTTCGGTTTTATCTTGGCGCCTGCACTGTATATTTTTAAACTGACCGGCTTGATCTTATTTTAACACTATTTTTCAGCAATATTTCAAGAGCAGCTACAAAAACAATAACAACAACAACAACTGCTACGAGGAACACAGAAACAACAACCACGACGAGATTTGTTTTCTAGTAATAAAATTTGATGCAAATTTCTGTGAACTTGCGCCAACAAATTGCGAAAATGTGTTGCAAATCTAACGCCATGTGGAAACCTTTAACCTCATCGAGTGGGCAACAGCAGCAACAACAACAACAACACCCAGTGGTGCCCACAGGCAACACACAATGTCATGGCCAAGCCCAAAGGCACAACTGCAACAGAAACAACAAGATACAACAACATTTTCTGGGCAGAATTTGTGCCCTCGTCTTTTTTGTCATGATTGCCCTGAATCAAATGGACACTGCTGCAGCTGGACTACGAGAAGGCCTTTCAGGTGAGTTTAGTAATAAGCGCTTTAGCTACCTTTATATATTGTATAAGAGAGTTCAGAGAGTTCATATGAAATCTTAATGGGTAAATGATGCTTTGAGATATTTTAACTTAAAATTATGATGGAATAGTTCTTAACATAGGTAGAACTTCTTTAAAAATGCCTAAAGATTTTATATTTCTTAGATATCTTGAACAAGTTTCGTTATTATTTGACTCTTGGCATTGACTTTCATAGCAACAATCAGTCAACAACTTAAAGATTTCTATAAAAATACTTCTTAAAGCATAAGCCGATAAATGTTTTTTATCTGAAGCACATATCCATGAGGAATACTACAAATATTTCTCTGCATCTATGTAACCGTAACTGGGCTCATTTCTGACTTCAGACTTTAAAAATGTGCTAGGAATTTCAACATTTACTTTTGGCACATACAAAGTAACTTTTTTATTGTAACTAGTTTAGTTTTCTATGGCTAATTTGCCGCATTCTTAATCTAGTTTTCAGCTTTAGTTTCAAGATCATTTCCATAGAATGGAAATCAATTGAGATTGTCAAGCCAGTCACCTGACGACGCTTCGCCAGTTGGCAGCAGAGTTTCTGTTTCATGTTTCGACAGTTTCACCCTGCAACTTGTTAGCCTTCACCTTTACCCAGAGGTATTACGACTAGTAGTTGTTGTTGTTGTTACTCTGTACAAACGGGCTGTATAGGCTGCCCGTTAAGACGGTTCATTCTGTTGCCTACCCTCCACCCTTTAGACTGTCTGCTGGCTGACCCCCTTCATCCTCGCTTGGCTGTTGGCCACACGTGCCGCTGTGGCGCTCCCTACACGCTGCCGCCGCTGTCTCGCGCTGGCGCTTAATCTGTGATTGTGATTAATCAGACGACGCCAGCGTCCAGCGTCCGGCGTCGCCAGCTGTCCGGCTGGACGGCTACTGAGCGTATTTGATCGCTGCCAGTTTTTAGTTTTATTTTCTATTTTTTTTATATATTTCTAATTTTTTATTTTTGTTTATTTTTTGTGTTTTCGTGTTCTCTAAACATATTGAGTGGGTTTTTTTATGGCATTTGAGTGTGTTAGATGACATAAAAAATCGCATAAATTAGATATACGTATTGCAATTTCGATATCGGGTTACTTGAACAAGGTTCATTAACTGTCGCCCGCTAGATGGGCCGCTAGCAAAAGAGAAGGGCAAGAACCGTATCCGTCTCCGTCCCTGCGTAGAAAGTTCCAATAGGAGCCAAATAACTTTTCCACTTCATTAGAGCGCCAATGAATTTGTTTATGAATGAAGGTGGTCCCAAACACACAAAGAAGCAGCCAGAAATTGCACAGCAGGACACAAACGCATAACAGGAAAACGAACAATGGGTACAACATCGTTTAGCAGCTAAATACCAAAAAAAAAGAAAGAAACACAGACGTGGATAATGTCGCAAAGGGCCTAAAACTTAAACGAACCGAACCGAACCAAAAGAGCCGCCCGCAGAAGGCGAGGGATGTGGCTGCAGCATCTGCAACTGTATCTGTATCTTTGTATCTGTAGCTGTTGCGTGTTGTTCTTTAGGTTGTTTTGAAATCTGTGTGTGTGTGTGTAGCGCCGGCGTCTTCATTTATCAACGAACGCGCCGAGTTCGTGTTGTGTGTGTGTGTGTGTTTATCAGCACATTGCAGGTGGTCCCACAAAGCCAGCCCCGGGCATCGGGACGGGCCCTGCAAGTCAGCCTGGGGTCGCTGTGCCGACGTTTCCGTTTGCCTTGTTGCGTTTTACTTCTGTATCGTTTCGAATCGTTATTTTCAGATACCCTGTACAAAAGATCAAGATGGATTTCATGAATAAGCGTTGATAGATCTTTGATCGATACATTGTATATAAATATTTATATATATACATAAAGATTTTGTTAGATTTGGAATACTCCTTGGACACCTTGTGCCAAAGCTACTTTTTCATTAATCTATATAACGCGTCGATGCTTTGTAGTGCAGGGTATCCACAAGTCGTTTCGATTGTGAAACAGCTACCTTGCTTGTTCGTTCTGCCGTGCTGTCGACTGGAACATGTTTAACATGCGGCGTTTGCTACTTTGACTTAGCGCCAGAAGTACAAGAAGACGACGAAGGTAAACCAAACAAAGAGTAACCCAAAATGCAGGCGGGCCAAGGAGTTGAGGGAGGGGCAAAGTGTGCAAGAGAGCAGGAGGTGTGTTGCTTTATGATCTGGCAGGGCATGTTTGGCTGTACACACACACACTTATATATATATATACACGCACACAGAGAGAGAGAGAGAGAGAGCAATGCTGATAAAGTGGCCTAATCTCTTTGACCTGTTTGGTTTTTTTTTGGGTACGGCGCTGCGGGTCACGTGCTGGATAACATCTCAGTCAGTGGGCAATTTCCGGCTAGCGCTGATTGTAAATTAAATATTTGATTATTTGTTATTTGGTTTATTTGAAAACGTCAGCTCTGAAATAACAGGAAATCGTCGTTGTTGTCATAGTGAGTCTTCCCTAGAATTTATGGCTGACAAGTTTGTTTAGGCATCTAGAACAGCAGCTTGTTAGACTCGCAGCTCTATTAACATCTACTTCTACCTCTTCTTCTACTTTTTTCCAACAGGCATTTTGGAATCCTGCGCCAACGAGGGTGAAGAGGTGCAAATCCAAGGCATACAAAACTCCAAATGCTTCAAATGCACATGCCAGGTGAGTTCCATAAGATGTTAGCAAGTCCCATGTCTAGGCGCAGCAGGCAAGCGGCTCCAACGAGCTGCGCCAACAAAAAACTGGACAGCCTTTGACCCAAAATAAAAAACGAAACGAAACGAAACGAAACCAAGCAATTCATGTGAAATAAAATACAAATACTAAATAAATCTGATGCTGTCGCTGGGGCTGTCTTCTGTCTGGCGCGCTGCATGAGCGACGCCAGTGTCCAGCCAGGACATGGGCTACAAGGATGCGGCACATTTCGCATATATCGCAACGCCTGCCAAACGTAATACCCAAACGCCCCAAAATATTTCAAATATTTACATTAGACAGCCACCAAATGCAATGCCAAAAGCATGTACCGAACGACAGCCAGGACAACAGAGACAGCGAGACACAAGTACAGAATGAAGAAGATGCTTAAATGTTTAAGATAACTGTGCGTATGCGTAATATTTCTAGCAATGAAAAAATTGAAGAAATAAAAAAAAGCCAAAACTAGTTTGAGTTTAGAGAAAACTTTATAGCGAAATATTAAAGCGAACAAACGTCGGTCAACACATAATAAACATATCTTTAAAAATGAATAAACAAAATTCTAAGGTTCTTTTGTTTACTCCAATTAAAAGTTATTTTCCAACTCACTTTAGACAAATTAGAATATTTGTCCCAGCTTGATTTATGTGTTTGGAATGAGTTCTTAATCAATAGCTGCATTAGAGTACTTCAGTTAACAAATACATCCATTCCATTAGCATATGCCCCATGTAAATCCCAAAAGAAATTCAGTTCAGTTAATCATGGCTCGCCCGTGACATGTCAAGCGCTGATGGGAGTTCGCTAATGAGACGATGGCAACGGCAGCTTCTGTTCTGCTGTTTGCACAAAATGTTTGCTGATTTCTGGGCATTTGTTTGGCTTTAATAATAATAATAATAATAATAATAATAAATAAAAGCACAGGCCGCATCTTGGCGTTCGCCAGAAATTGTTATGATGCAAGGTCGTCAAACGGGTTTGCTGCGACATGACAAACGTTAACCACAGGTTGGCCGATCGTTTGACAAACACTTGGCGCCGTGTTTTTTGTCGCCGTCAACGGCTACCGACGGGGACTAACACACAAAGCGCGCTGCGCTGCTCGCGTCGTGTCGTCATTAAGCGGCGATGGCGACGGCAACGGCAACGGCGACCGCGACGGTAGCAGCGGCAGCGCGTGCTGTCGGCGCTGGCGTTGCCAGACCGCTGCATGCTTGTTGCTAATTTGCGCTAAGCGCTGCTAAATGCCTCTGCTCCATTTTAAGCGCCAAGAAGCTTTCGCGACGCCAGCTGCGAACGGCGATCGATTTTTGTATAGCCTCCAGTCATGAGCTGATGCTGCGACCGTTGCTGTTGTTGCTGTTGTGTTCGTAAAGTGGGCGTAACCAAAAAAAAAGAAAAAACAACTAAAAAAAGAAGAAAAAACAATGCCTGGCGCCACCTCACTTTAAGTCGTTGGCGCCATGTGTTGCGCCTGCTCTAACTGAGCTACCTGTCTCGCTCAGCCGCTACTGCGCGCTCGCTCGCACTCGCTCGTGCTCACCCTCTCGCTCGTACTGCGATTGCGCGCGCGCATCGTAAGTTCATGATGGCATCGATTGAGCGCATTTATTTCCTTTTTCTCATTTGCCGGCACTTAAAGCTCTCTTAAAGCTGTGCCAAGGCTAGGCAATTGAATTGCCAGCCAAATGCTTGGCTACAGCCATAAAGCACACACTTTATGATTACTTCTATTCATGCTCCACGCTCACACACATACACACGCACACACTTTTCATATTCCCATTCACTCTTCAGCCTCATTGTATTATTTGCCAACGCTTTTGGTGATTTGCTGATATTTTATGGCTGACGTTTATTATCTTATATATCTAACTATATATATATATATATATATATATATATATATATATATATATATATATCGCATATTAACTACAATCCTGTGCTGTCTTTCAACCACCCCCTTAGCCCCAGCACAATCATACAAATTGTCCGCTTTTCATCTATTCTGGCTCGTCCTTTCGCATATTCACGCTTGAATTTGTGAACAAATTTTGTTTTTATGCGAAAATTATGCTGAATACGCATTGCTCTCCTAATAGCTTATGATTTAAGCGTTTCCCTTTTTTTGTGTTGCTCAGTTGATTGAGCAAGCCATTTTTTACGATTGATATTTGCAAATACAATTTTTTCTTCTACAAAATATTGCGGCTTGTAGGTGGTCGGTGAAAAGGAATTCAATTTTTACGATTATTCAATAATCTGATGACTCAGTTAGAGCTGGTTAGCAATACTTGAGCTGATAATAGATGCTGCATTAAAAGGTTTACAGCGCTTTTATTATATATAAAGTGAATTTAAGAAATATACTTCGCATTTGCGAAAAGTAGCAAATAAAATATTATAAACTTAATAAAAAAAGTATTGAAACCACATGTATTCATAATAGTGCTCGCCTCAAGAGTACATGTCAAGAAATCATAATTTATTAAGAAATTAAAATTAATTAAATTGAAGATGACTAAACAATTCTAATGAAAAACATTGAAGATTTGTTTATGTCATAAACAGACATTTCTTACGTCGAGTAAGAAAACAGAAATATTTTTTAAGCAAAGGGAGAAGTTCTTAAACAAAATATCTTATATAAAGAGTTATAGATGGATCAAAGTTCAAATATAGAATACATTAGAGCTGAAAGACTTTATAGAATTAATATATAGAATTAATATATATAATGAATAAAATAAAGCCTTCTTCTGTGTATTGCACATTGCATGTCCAAATGAAATTACACTCCCAGCACTGTACACTCAACATACAGGATATCCCACATAGCTCGCTTTTTGGTATTTCAACAACTGTTAATCCAATGGAATTCCACATTCAGCTAACACAGCCCAAGCCGATTCAATAGAATCCAACTAGCTAGCAAGCCAGTCAAATTCAACAACTAGCCCACAAGTGACAAAATACACACATGAACATAAAAAATAAAATCACAGTTTGTCATTACCATATTCTATGAGGCGCAGCGAGAGCCAAGTTTACAGTCTAGTAGAGTCTTTGGCCAAGTTTGCCTAGCAAACGTTTAAGTTGAGCAGCTAACAGTCAACAGTCAACAGCCGACAACAACAGCAACAACAACAAGAGCAAGCGACTAGCGAGTGGTTTGAGTGGCTCACTGGCCAACTGTGCGACGACGGCTGAGGGGCAGGTGGTGCTGCAGAGGTGGGAACGTGGCGGCTGCCGAATGGACTGGTGTTAAAACTGATCATGTTTTGTCAAACGCAAGGTCGTTGGAGGCCGTTTGCAAATGTGGTTCTGCCACTGTGGCACACATAGACACGCAAACACACACACACACGCACACACACACACAACAGTGCTTTGGCATTCGTGATTGCCGCTGGCGCACAACAACAACAACAACAGCTACGAAAATCTCAGCCTCTACTAAGCAGCTTGTCCGTTGCCGGGTCCGGGACGCGCTTGGCTGCCTTCGTGGCGCCTTTTCTTTTTTTTTTAATAGCAACCTTTGCTAGCAGCTACTAGACAACATCAAACAACAACAACAACAACAACTGCCTTGGCGATGCTTAACTTTCATGTTGTCTGAAATATTTCTATACCGGTTCCAGATTAGAAAGAAAGAATTTCAAAGAGCATAAAAACATCGGCATCTGGAAGATGCGTGAAGATCGCCTCAGCTGCTTCACACAAGCTCACAGATAATTCAAGAGCATTTGAACTTTGTCTAGCAGCGCAGCATTTACATTTCCATTTCCATTTTCATTTCCATTTATCCAACTGCTGTCAACATTTTGGATTTGTTGTCTCTCTAGTCGCCGCTGTCGTTGCCGTTGCCGTTGCCGTTGCAGTTGTTGCTTTATAATACCAAAGTGCTTTTCAATCTGTCAGTGTTTATTGCATTATGGCACTGAGAGTTACGATGCCCGCACTAAAGGTGCCATTAAAATTCCAACTAACAACTGCCATTAAACTAATACGATGATAAAAATCTCGGAACCGCAAAAACTAAAATAAAAAATAAAAAAAAAACGAAACACCTCTCGACTCTCAACTCTCGACTCGACACAATTTTCATAACAATTGCATATTTTGCACGTTGCGACGGCGGCTCCAACCAAATTGAGATCCAATCTGGTTTGCTTGCACTAAATTATACACACACACACACACAACACTCACACACACACACAATTGAGCCGCGACATTGTTCAGCCGCAACTGCATACAAATTAGTAAAATATTTTGCCTGTTTTTGGTACGACATCTATCTAGATTTATAGATACATTTACAATTAGCCTCAGACTCTGGCACTAGAGACTTCGTCGCCGTCGCCGTCTTCGTCTCGCTTTAACCTGTCAGCGGGCATCAAACATGCATGCGACAGCTGCGCGCACAAGGGTTAAAGCCGCCCATTGATTTGAGTTAGTTTTGGTACGTTCGGTGCGGCCCGCATCAGAGTGTTGCATAAGCTGCCAAAGCCTTGCCACAAGCTTTTGACTTATGATCGACATCAATTCTAATGCGCCGCTTGCCGCTGTCAACATGTCGTTAACGAAAAAAAACTGAGCAAAATTGTGCAAAATAAAAAGCAAAACCAAACCTGCATCACAGCGGCACAATTGCTGCAACTTTAACAGTTGAGGCTGTTGCATTGCAGTCTAGGCCAAATGAACAAATAAAGCCGCTAGCTGCCCTAATTAAGATTATTACCAATGCTTAACTTCTTTACTACTACTTGGAACATATATTTATTGTTAGTTCATGTGGACTGAAGGCCTTCGCTGATGTTCCTATAAAATAATATAATTTAGAATTGATTTTAATTACAATTATCGATTATTATCAATCCATATTTGGTCTTAGGCATAATCTATGACAAAAGCTTTTCACCCTTTACTACTGCTGAAAGTTTAAATTTATCAGAAAAAATACAATTTTTTTAGTTTTTCAAGTTCGCTTGCAAATCTCAGCTTAAACACTAAGAGCCTTGTATACACTTCTTTTAATAGAGTAAGAGCATTAATGCCTCTTAAATAAAATCAAATAGTTCATTCGATCCCATTCAAATTTGGCTTATTTATTATGAGTTCCAAACTGAGCTCTGATATAATCTGTTGGGCAATCACATCTCAAAGCTATTTCCCAAAAGCTTTTTCTCAACACGCATTCCAAGCAACCCATCAAGCTGGTTGTAGCGCATCTGAAGCGTCGCTTATGGCCTTTGGTTGCCCGCCTGCCACGCCCTGAAGTGTGCACTCAATTCCATATAATTTTGACTCGTTTGCATCCATAAATTATAAAGACTGCCGAAGGTCAGAGTGCAACCTGGTTGAACAAATGCAATTTGTGTGAGCGCCAAAGCGAGTGAACAACTGCAGGTGCAGCCACACTTCAGCCTCAGATGGCGAGGGGAGGTTGAGGCGTAGCTGAATACAAAGCGAATGCTCGACTACGTTGAGCATTTGACAGCAATCTCTCACATGATTAAGCGCATACGCCACATGACCGGACTGGGGGAAAAGGTGATCTAATTTAAAAGGCAATTGGAGGCTAACAAAATGTTTTTTTCTGCTCTTTTTGTCTCTTACAGAATGGCTTTGTGAAATGCGACAAGAGCTGCCCGTCAATTGATGATTGCTATTTGCTTGACTCCAAGTCCAACGACACCTGCTGTCGCAAGTGCAAAGGTAAGTGCTGCAGTGGCACACAAAAACATCTAGCTGCAACTAACTATTGCTTTAATTAGGCTGCATATATCGCGGCGTGCCCTATGCGAGCGGCGCTGAGTGGAGCGACCCGGATGAACCCTGCAAGACGTACAAGTGCATCGCTAGTGTTGTCACCGAAACAACACAGAAATGTTATTCACAGTGCGACGATAATCAGTTGACAGCGCCACGCCCCGGCGAATGCTGTCCGACATGTCAGGGTAAGTCGACTTCAGCCAATCTGTCAACTAGTTCAGCCACTCAACTAGTCACTTACTAAAATTAGCAGCAGCAGCAACCCAAATACTAATAATGCCTCTTAATTCGTCAGTCCGTCTGACAAAATAGTCCAAAAACGATCTGTGCACAGATGGTCAAGAGTTTTTTCTGTTTCTTTTTTGTTTTGTTTTTTTTTTTCATTTTATTTTATGTTTTATTTGTATCTATTTTGTGACTCTGCACGATTTGCTTATTTATGGGCTTTAAATTGTCTATTAAGTCGACAATGTGGCATTGCGTTCCAAACAAAACAGAGCAGCGTTTAAGCGAATATGTGCTAGACCTCGAGATACCCTGCAGCAAATGGTTTGCCTCAGATTTTTCTATATAGCTTTTAGACACTTGTAACAACTCAGGGAAGATAGTGGATACCCTGGCTTTAATGAACTCAGAATTCAAATATATTAAAAAGCGACATTAAGTATTTACGTACAGAAAATAGAGCTTCATATCAGTTATATATGATAACATAATAGATCTTAATAAGATTTTATTTATGTATATTAAGCACAAAACAAACGAATTTCTTGAAGAATTTAAAAAGAAGTTAAAGGACTTTCAAAAAACAACCTACAGCAGTTCTTAGTGTAGTTCACTTAAATCTAAAACTAGAATTTAGACAAAGTGTCATAAGACAAACATATAGATGACCTCAACTGTTAACAACGACAATGCTGTGGCACTGGCGACGTCGTTCCCCCTCTTCGCATTACGCATTCAACACAAAATTCCAATACCCTCTCCAAGGGTATATGAACCTTAGAGAAAGCCAGCTGTTGGTCATGTAATTATGCAACATTGAATTACCCTATTGAATGCAGCATGCGCATAGGGTATATTTGGTACGCACGGCCCTCTGCCTATGCAAATAGATCGTTTGGAAACCCGTTTCAACATGTGGAAATTTTCTTGGCTGTCATCCAAAAAAAAAACACACACACACACGCACACAGTTAACAAGAAGACAAAATAATACGTTTTTTAAACCGTTGTCTGATGAAAATCGCGTTGTTGCTGTTGTTGTACACTTTGCAGGTTGCAAGATCAATGGCCAGACCGTTGCCGAAGGCCAAGAGGTTGTCGCCTCGATCGACGATCGCTGCTTGGTCTGCCAATGCGGCGGCAACAAGTTGAGCTGTGCCAAAAAGACTTGCCCCATACTCCAGTGCCCCAAAACGAAGCAGAAGCAGCTGCCCAACGAGTGCTGCCCACGCTGCACCGAACAACGCGAATTTGTGGTAGTCAAAGGTGAGTGTCACGCCCCCAGCAATTACACAAAGGCCCACTTGCTCACCGTTATGCTTTCACTCATGTTTTCCAGGCAAGTGCATATTCAACAATAAGCTGTACTACGACAAGACACAGTTTACGCCGGATCGTTGCACTAATTGCACGTGCCTGAACGGCACTTCGATTTGTCAGCGTGCCACATGCCCCATACTGGAGTGTGCGCCGGAGTTCCAGGAGGAGGACGGCTGTTGTCCCCGCTGCATTGTGGCCGAGGTGCGCAGCGAGTGCACCGCTCAAGGTGTCACCTACATGAACAACGAAACCTGGGACATGGGACCGTGCCGCAGTTGCCGCTGCATTGGCGGCAACATACGCTGCTCCGAGGTACGCTGCCCGCAGGTCAAGTGTCGCCCCAACGAGGAGCTGAAGGTGCCCCCCGGCGAGTGTTGTCCCAAGTGCCTGGAGACAGCCGGCACATGCACCGTCTTCGGCGATCCTCACTTCAAGACCTTCGACGGCAAATTCTTCAGCTTCCAAGTGAGTTCCATTTCGATATTAATTATAAACGGATAATGAGCGTAACGCGAACTGACGTTTATGGGCATCAATTAAAATAAGCCATTTAATGGCAATTGATATATAATTACATTACCCGTCGTACTTATAAAACTAACATATAAATTGGCCGCTTAAAGCAGACTTTTATATGGCCATTCGATTTGCATAGACAAGTTAAGTTTATGGCCCATTCGCATTAGGTGAATTTCCCGCTATTGCCGCTGTCGCTGCTATCCAGAGCTGCAGCCAGCTTGACCACCCGCCGACAGACGTAGTCTGTTCCAATTAAGAGAGGAAAAGCGGTGTCAAAATAAGCGTAACGAAGCGTAGCGAAATATCTTATAATTAATTATAGAATAACAAGCAAATATGCTCTCACCATCATCAGTTTTTTTATATATTTGTTTACATTTTATTAGCTATAAATTTAATGGCTTTTCAAGCTTGTTCAGCCAGAAACATGTCCAATCCGTTTTTCACAGTAGTCAGTTTTATGGCATTAATGAAAAAAAGGGTTTGTCCGATTACATAAAACTCTCTGCTAAAGGTCATAATAAAAACTCACTAAAGACGTCTCCAGCTGACACTTTGTTCTGCTAATTAAGTGCTTGATAAGAGACTCAGCCTTATCTAAGATCAAGTTGCATAAGGTATTAAGAGAACCGGGCAGTGGAATGCGGCTTATGCTGAATTTGTCATTAATATTACTTTTTACTAGACGTTCTTAAAGTCAACAACAACCTTTACAGAGAAATCCTTGTCAATCCATATCGAAAAGTTATTTTCTGAAATTTTACAAATCATCTGCATTTCGCAAAAACTTGTTCTTTATCTAAATTCTACCTTTGCTTTAACTTTCAGGGCAGTTGCAAGTATTTGCTGGCTGCTGATTGCTACGGACGCAACTTTTCTATACGCCTAACTAACGATGGGCGTGGCACGCGGCGTTCCTCATGGCCGAAGACGGTGACGCTCAAGCTGGGCGGACTGCGCATTAATCTGGGCCAAAAGCTGAGAGTCAAGGTGAATGGCACGCGGGTCACTCTGCCCTATGCGGACTACAGCAGCAGCAGCGAGATTGGGCATGGCCACAATGTGAGTATCGAGCGTCTGGCGGAGGGTGGCATTATGCTGAGAACGGAGCTGGGACTGAGCATCGAGTGGGATGGCAACAACTTTCTGCAGGTGTCGGTGCCGGCGAAGTACAAGCGTCAACTGTGCGGACTCTGCGGCAATTACAATGGCAGCGGGCGGGACGATCTGACGAGCAGGAATGGGCACTCGCACAGCGATGATGAGGTGTGGCATTTTGCCAACTCATGGAAGGTGGGCGGAACAAAGTCGTGCTCCAGGCTGAGGGATAATATTGTGGTGCAGCCGACGTGCAACAAGCGTAAGCCCAACTTCTACTGCCGGCCACTGCGCATCTCGGAAGTATTTGGAAACTGTGATAGTAGACTTAATCCCAAGAACTACATCGACTCCTGCCGCATGGACGTCTGCGAATGCCCCACGGGCAGCTGCCACTGCGACAGCTTTGCTGCCTATGCCCACGAGTGCCGACGCCTCGGCGTCCAGCTGCCCGACTGGCGTGCTGCGACCAATTGCCCAATGGGCAGCTGGCGTCGCAACGCCACCGACGCCAACTATCGGGGCAATAGCTTCTACGGAGATCCTAGTTTGCTGAAGGGAGGCGGAGGTGCGGGCGGTGCATATAAGGCACGACGCCGCAAGCAGCAGCAGCACGAGCTGCAGCTGCAGCATCAGCGACGCCAGCAGAACGAGCTGCAGGAAAATGAATACATCAAGAAACATGTACCCAATAAATTTTTAAGGCCGCGTGCGCCGGCTCGCACGCCGCCGCCAATACACTAAGCACTGAGCATGGATTTAATTATAATTTAGTTGCTACACATACACATACACACACGCACACACAAATATTCTCACGCAGGCTAAAACAAAATCGGAAAAATTTACTTCAAATGCCAATGACGCACGCTGCACCAAAATTAAATCTAAATAAAAAGCTTTCGCCCCGAGCTCTCAAAGTGCTTTGAGCCGGATTTGAAAAGAGATCGCCTTTTCGTTATGCCAGCCAAGCTTAAGCTGTCTTTCAAGGTTTGCAGCCAGTTCGTCATTGGCCAGTTCGGCAGCATGGTTATAAGAAAAGTTCCAGATACGAAGTTTGATTTGTATGTACTTGTAGTTGAATTGCGTATACGCACCCATGACAGCACCAGTATTAAGCTAAGCATTATCATCCATCCACCCAAGTCGTACATCCGCTGCCGCAACAATCTCTCTGATGTTATATATATACTCTGTTAGCGAACCATCTCATGCTTGCCTTTTTATCCATACATTCATCAAATGCATTCGTTGTCGCCATTTTGTTTAGTTCGATAAGTTTTATTTATTTTAGCTGATAAGTTCTAAAGAAATTTTATAGAGCCCGGCCTAAGTACTACTCGAAAGTATGTTGTGTGTCTGTTACTCTATTTTTAAATGTATTCGTATGTGTGTATTATCGCTTAAATAAACTTCATACTACTCGATTGCTTAACTCGATAATGATAACTTAGTGTACTTATACATTATTATATACTATAATATATATATATACTATTCGTAATGTTAGTTAAATAAATTTTAGTTTTGCTTAAAATTTAAGCTTTAAACATTTATGAAAATTGCACAAACAGTATTTTTGCTTAGTTTAAATCTCACTTTAATCTTGCAAAATTAGCTACAGAAGAAACAATCTCAAACTAACTATACTTAACTCTTTCTCTCTATCTCTCTCTCTAAAATTGTAACTCTCTCACATCCCAACTCTCTCTTCCACTTTCTATATATCTATATCTTACTAATTCAAACCTAAAACTTTATATAATTCCGTTTACGTCTATAGATAAACTTGGAATCCAATAAAAAGAAAATCAAGTAAAATAAACTGTGTTAATATTTATAAAGTTCGATCCAAGTTACACAAATTTAACAAGTTTATTGCCATTTTCCAATATTTATAGTACATTAATCAAGTTTTATCGACTTAATATGGCTGGATCTGTAAATGTATGACAAATATATGCTTAAATTCCCAAAACTCTTTGACAAAAAATGCAAAAAAAAAACAGAAGAAAACAAAAACAAATTTAAATGCAAGAAACAAAATAAATTATATAAAAATTTTAAATGTTGTGTTTCTATTTTTAGTAGTGGAAATGGGCGAACTCACAATGGAAATATTTTTGAGAATGTTTAAATATTTTTAACGAGTTTAAAATAGCCAAGAACTAGACCTTTAAAAGCAGAGGATGCTGCAGTAAGAACATCTACTTAATCTTGAATCTCTAGTCTTAGTAACTGACATGCCTTTATGTATAAGCTGAAATAGATATTCTATATGCAGTAAAGCTTGAAGTTGTTAAAGATAAGCTTAGAAAGATTCCACAAAACTACAATAACTTCAGCTAGAGCAGCTGCATGTCCTCAGTCAGTATAAGACTTATTCTACTTTCACCTTGGCATTGCTATATTACAATCAGCGTTCCATTTATTTACAAATAATATATATAAAATACTGAACTAGACTTAAGAGACTTTAGATATCTGCGAGTGAGCTCAACTCAACAAATATATAATATATATATTATACAAGTGCTGTATTCTCTTCATCTCGTTAATTTTATTATAGTGCAATTAAAAGCTAAGCAAGCCGCCAATAAAGATCATGTTGAAAACTTAATTTAATGGGTTTTCACAAGACGTAAGTAAAGTCGAAATCGCGTAGACACAACGATTGAATTCCGCGTGGTTAGCCTTTTCGGATTGTACATATAATGTTTATGATGATGTTGTTGCTTTGTTTATGTTCAAGTGGCATCAGATTCGCAGGCACGAACCCGAAAACAATTGCGACAAGAGGCGACGACACTGCGTCTAGGGTGGCTGCCGTTGGGGCCGCAGACGGAAGGAAGTGGTCGACACTTGGTGGCTGCTCATGGAGACTGGGCGTTGAATTACAAAAAAAAAGAAAAAAACAGAAACACACACATCACAGCATGCAGACATACAGTTGGACACACACACACACACACAATCGCAATCACAATTAATTTATGCATGTTTGCTTAGCAATACTTGTCAAAGTTGTCTAGGGCTGTGCACAACTTTGTGTGTAATTTGAACGGGGCAATCATTTGCCTCCGCCTCGGGGCTTATCGACATATGGAGGCATTTCTTGGAAGGTAGTGCTAGGCACTGCTTAAGCACAATAAGCTCGTAAATCGACGTCGATTTAGACTGAAATACAATCTTGTGCGAGCCTGAAATTGCGGGCGCTCCATTGAGTAAAGCCACCAACACACGCAGTCGCAGTCGCTGCCGCTGCGGCTGCTGCTGTTGCTGTTGCTCTTTTTGCTATTTGCTGCTACCGCAGCGGGGCACGTGCAGCGCATGCGCAACGAGCCAAAGCCGGCAGCTGGACAATCGGACAATTGGCAACGCTGATTGATGCACGTCGTCTTCAACAGAATCGAGTTGAATGTTTCGACATCTGCTGAACGCTCACCGGCCACCGACTGTGTTGCGGCATTTTGTTGCTTCCGCGTGTTGGTCGCCTGGAGAGACGACGCCAGCCTGGATAGACGACGACGACGACGCGTGCTCCTGCCTTATCAGGCGCGAACCTGTCCATATTGGCGCAAATGCCCGTTTGCCAATATGGTGCGTATATAATTGGAGCGTATGGCTGCCGATGTCTGTCTCCGTCCCTCTCTCTCTTTCTCTGAGTGTGTAAGTGTGTGTGCGTGTGGTGTGGCGCCAGAACGTGCGCCAAATTTGGCAATGTGAAATGTTGTTGCTGTCCAGTCGAATGGCATATTCCCCATAGCCGCATGCCACATGCCGCATGCCCCATAGGCATTAGAACATCGCCAGCCACTTAAAATCAGCGATTTATCATGAGGCAATGTTTGCCCTGCACAAATGAACGGGTCGACATGTCCATGAGATATCCAAAACCACAGCCATAGCCAATGCCAAGTGGTGCTTCAATTGCAAAGAGACTCATAAAGATGCGCAGCAGATAAGCCGGAAGGGACGAACATATGGACAGAGCCATGCATCATCATTGTGGCGGCACAAGTCCTGAACCCTTGACTAACTCTAAAGCAAGGCATAGAGAGAGTGTGTGTGAGAGTCACTTTGAATCTTTGTGTGTGCATAAACGAGTGTTGAACCACATGAATCACTTTGGTGCGTAGGAGTCGACAAGCATTTGCGGCATATGTCAGCAGCAACGGCAACGGCAACGGCAGCAGCAGCCGGCCAAGGGCTGCACTTTCCGGGTAGCTTTTCCCACGCAACGGCTCCCGGAAAAGCTAACAGAAATCTTTCTAACTATGCGTTCTCGATGACAGGCGAACCCCTCAGCCGACGCTGGTTATTTATGTCAATGGCTTGGCTTTTGCGTCACACTCACTTACAGACTGCGTGCGTGTGTGGGAGAGAGTGCTTCAAGCAGATGCGACAATCAATAGTTGAAATAAACTAAAGCATACTTCTCGGCGGTGACCTAAATGCCTGAGCGACGGGGTGGCAATTTCTGCTCTTCCAAATGCCCCATTTACACTCGATTGCAGCAAATAAAACTTAAGTAATTAAATGTTAACAAGAAGTCAAGTGAAGGACAATAAAAGGAATTGATTGGTGTATTTAATAATTTTATATTATTTGCTGTCAATAAAAGCTGATGGCCGATCATGGCTAAGTCGGTTTATATCAATAATTTTATGTGTAACTGGAATCATTAAGTATAATTTAGTTGAGTATCTGAATTGATATCTTCAACAGCACTTAATAAGATTGCCTACAGACGATGTATATAAGGAGTTAAACAAGCTAGAGAAATTTCGATGCGAGAGCCACATTGAATTTGGCTTAATTTCTATATCATATTGAATATCTATTTGCCCAAAGTGCAGAGGTTCAGTTCGATATCAATTATAATTCATTCGGAACAGTTGACAACTTTATAACAAGAAAGATGCTGATAGCGTGAACTGAACTACTAGCAGTTCCTTTGGAGCTCTGTCATAAATCTGTCATCTATAAAATCATTTTAAGCTGAACTAACTACGTGGTCACATCATCTCAACTCTTTGAATTACTTGCAACATTTTGATTACCGAAGAGTCTTAAAAGGTTTTCTGTCAGTTAATCGCCATCCATGGTAGGACTCAGCAGGGCCTTAAGGTAAGTATTACTACACAAGCACACACTACACGCGTGGCGTGCCGTGTGTCCTAGTGTAGTAATACTTACTTTTAGTCCCTGTTAAGTCCTACGCATTGATGGCAAGTGCGCTGAGTTTCATGTGTTGAAGTAAGATTAATGTATTTTACTTTTACTTAATATAATTTGGAATTTTTTTACTATAACAGAGATACTTAATTCCCAATGTCTACGTAATCAAAAGGGTCGTGCCTGTACAAGCCTAGAGACATAGCAAAGTAAGTTTTAAATTGCGTTAAGAATGTATAATTTATAAACTTGTTAACTTGTTAATTGCTTGTTTACTTTAAATAGATCAGAGAGTTCTCAACATCAATCATCAGTCATCAATCAACATAACAAGTTGTCAAGCTTCAATATTTGTTACTCAGTTTGTTATTCATCTCATAAACACTTTGTTTGTAAACTTCATTTAAATATAGCGCCTTATAAATAGAAAAGCTTGGACCCTAAGATTGAAACCTGCATAAATCATTAATTATTATTCTATTATGGAGACTAAAACTTGTTTAGGAGCTTACTTTGTAGGCTAAGTATGGAGAGTGAACTCCTCTTATACAAGAAACTATATCGAACGTGTATAATTAGAAATATATGTAAAACCAATAAATCAAGCCAAATCAAAGTCTCTAAATGAAGTTGATGGGCCGCTCCTTGCTGGCTGTCATTGTAAGCTATGCGAATAAACAAATATATAATTAAGTATGCACGAGCAGGAATATCATTTTTGTTTATAGCAGCGCGCGAAAGTGAGTATTCGATTACACATTGAGTGAATGAATGAATGAATATGAGTGGCTAGTTAAAATTAATGGTTGTTTCATTCTAGTCTTCGATTGACTCTATCTAATTTAATGTGCAATCAAGTATTCAGTGTCGCCGCCAATGCCCATGGCGTGTGTGTCTCAGTGTGTCCATCACAACCTTTTAGGGGCTTGGGGATTTTCTAGTCAGATTAATTGCCCCCCTAAAAAACTTATTTGGTTGTCGAAGAGATTTGCATAATTACCATGGAGAGAGGGAGATGCCTCTAAATTGACAGCAGGATGCTTGCCTCGCACATGTAAAGATACTTATTAGTGAGTTTGTAGAAAGCTGCCCACAACAGACAAATTGATTCAACAGACAGCCAGGCGTCTGCTTCAAAACTTTTCTACACTCTTACAGAGAGAGTCCCCTGAATGTGGCATTCATTTGTTGTTAAAATACCCATAATGCGTATGTATCTCTTCAAGTAAACATATGTGAATCAAGTAATATATAGATCAACAAAAGAAATAGCTTCATAACTAATTTCTCTTGGCTTAAAAAGTATATTAATATAAATCAGGATATAATTATTAACCATTATTTATAGTCATATATATTTTATATATGCATATTATGTATATTTATATTATACAATTCACTTCAAGATGCCATCAATTTCAGCCAAAATTCTAGCAATATTAAAAATCTTTAAGAAAATCTAAAAATGCTGTTGGTAATTAGTATAAAAAGCATTAAATTTTTTATTTCATAATTCTAAGAAACGACAAACAAACAATTTAAAAATAATATAAAAGGTTCGAACCATGTTAGCTTAACTGGGCTCTCGCTTAGTTAGATATTTAAGTAATATGAACAATATTAATTAGAAACTTAATAAAATATTGTACCAGTAATAAATATATTAAATTCTATTTATAACTATTAAATATTCGAATTAATTTCTCTATACATAGCCCTAACTTATATTATCTCTAAGTGTATTTAAACTTCGTCATTCAGCAAAACTTTTTATTTCAATTTGTTTTTATTTTGTTTTTTTTTTTCACTCGATTCATTCGACTCAAACAAGTTGCCACACAATGAGACATTTGGGCATCAGGCAAATTTTTGTCAAAATATATTTTATTATTAATTATATAAATTAACTTGTTTTGTGCGTTGTTTTCCATTCTTACAAGCAGTCGGGCTGACGGGTCGGACACACAGACTTCAATTCCAATTAATTAAAATGCGACGCATGGCGAAAAAGGCGAAGACAGGCTGCGATGAGAATCTTACAACAACGATCATCGCACTCATCATCATTATGGATATTATTATTGTTATCATCATTATGATTATCAGTTAAATGCAATTAAGCGCAATTATGCATAAAGCGAGTACAGATACATGTCGCCCTGTCGGGCCCGATGCTAAATTATGACGGAAGTGGCGAGCTTACAATCAATGCCCGCGGCATTAGCTGCGATTATCTAATCGAATACTCAATTCACAATGCGCATATGAATATTGAATTGAATAAGTATTATTAATGTTAGCTGTGGCGCCTTAGATAACAATTTAAATCAATGCAACAGATGTTTTCATGCGCACTCAACTCACTCGATGATTGATGTTTGGCATAAGAAATGATTGTCAATCATGTGACTGAGGGCTGATATATTTGGTCAACTAAATTCTTAACAGACTTATTCAAACTGCTGATATAAAATGTGTGTAGAAGCAGCATAGCTAAAAATTGTTTCATAATTTCCCTTCTACTCTTTAGCTACCTCAAATCCAACTTGGAAAGAACAAGATATATTGACAAGAACGTGATAATATATTGATACCATATTAAGCTTGTGTAAAACAATATTGCATGGAAGATTCAGCTTCCATAATTTGCAGACATGAGCTTCTACAACTTTTAAGGCTGACACGCAGAACGAATGTTAATGGCTCTAATGTTTATTGAAGCTGACAAAATGGCTTCTGTGATCCCAGCGTAACCGTATATATCTATATAACTCTAAGATGTTATCACCCAATTTTAAATGTTAATGCTAAAATCAGATCTCTACAGCTTGATGTCAATAAATACCCAATCAACGTCACACATTTCTAGCTACAGATAGCCGTCACATCTACACTTAACTTAATGACTAATTAGTTAAGCATTAAAAAGAGAATTCAAGTTCTTTCAATGCTTTTAAAGATTAGCTCAATGAATTTTACCTAGAAATATAGGTATAGGCTCTTTACTATATATAGGCTCTTTACTACTCAGCCAAACTTGTAGAGAATGATATAAACTGATTGTTTGGCTTAATTTCATTTGATTATGTTTCATTTTTACCAATATATCCGATCATACATAAAATAGTTGGCAGTTCATGTTTAATATAATCATATTCTTATCTGCGCTTTTAGTTTCTTAGATAATTTGCTGGTTCATTTCAGGTTCGCAGAATATTTATGCGCTAATCTGAAACATATACATATGTATTAACCATTTAAGGAATCCATAAAAACTTCAGAAAACTAGTTTAATTTATCGTTTAACTATTGCAAAATTATTATTATTAAAACGTTCTTAATGAGCTTTTCAGTTAGTTAAATCATTGGCACAAGTACGTCCAACTGATTGTCACTATATCAATCACAAGCATTGGCCCCAATAGGTTTTGTGAATTGCAATTAGCATATTGTCGCCACTAAGTTTTATCTAATGAATTGACACTAATATGTCGAATATGTTTGCCATAAAAATCAAATCAAATGAAAAACTTGCTGCTACCCATGTGGATTAATCATTCGATGCTAACATAAAAAACAGTTAACAAACAATACGATTGACGCCCACAAATTAGAGAACGACAGGCGGCGAGTCAAACATCTCATATGCATAAACCCATAGATCTCTGTAGAGCGCTATAGATCTTTTATAGGTATATAAATTGAAACGTGCTCGTTTTATGGTCTAAACAGGCATCGGCAAATAAATAAAAAATTAAAAGGAATATAAAGAAAAAGCCAGAGCTCGTGGCAAACAAAGAGCGTTCAATGGACTTATCCCATAATATCTGGATCGTATAAAAACAATTTGTATAATTTTAAGCCACACTCTAACCGAATTCGTATGCCCTGTGTTAGCCATAAGAGGTGAGCCGGCAACTAAAACAGAAGTTTGAGCTGCAAGCCGAGGCTTGGCTAATTCTCGGGTTCCCGGTCATTCCCTCAAATTAATATTTATGTTTATTTATTAACATTGTTTTTTATAAACTTGTTCTTAGTCGTTTGGTTTCAAACGTGTTAGAAAGGCTTGGTCCGCAGAACGAAATGGCAAGAGAAATAGAAATAGTATAAGTACACTAAAAAAAATGTTGATAGTTTTTAAATTATAGTTATTAATAGTTGGATAGATACATATTAAAAATATGTTAATTTGGAGACAAACAAGTACACATAAAAAATACTGATGACTGAACGGAATTGAGCTAATATTTATATATAGTTAGTTATAGTTATAGTTAGCACTGAAATATACAACTTTTCTTTATTATTTTTAAGTAAAAATTTGTTTTTATACTTTATGAATTTACTGAATACCTTTCAGTAGAATATAAATCCTGTTAACTTTTTCTTGGATTCTTAACCTAGATTTAATTCAATGAACCTAGTTTTTCTCTACCAAACTTAATGTTTCTTTCTTTGTTATATTTTAAGAAATTTATTCGAATTTATATTAATTTTACTTCATTAAAAAGTTTATAAAATATGTAAAACGTTCAGTCATTCTATATTTGACCAATCTGATTTAAAGTTTAGTTACGTTAAAAACTAAAGAAAAATTAAACAATCAATAGATTCTCAAAAATAAACTTCTATAACATATCTTAAAAATCATGCTAAGTGCACAGCTGACATGCATGACACACATCTTTCTCTGAGTGTATATAGATACAAATATATTTATATCTAGTATATTTAGAAGTTAAGTTAACTAACTTAGCACACACGCTAAGCTTGGTTGACTGATTCGCAGATATACACGACTCTGGCTCGGAGTCTGTCTGTCTGGTTGGGGCTATTCATTCGGACAGAAACGTTCAATAAAGACGGCCACGCGAATTGGCCAGACTCTCATTGGAAAGCGTTAGGTTCAGGCGATAGCTATTATCAACGGTCCACAAATCAATGTGATTTAGCATCGGCACCTGCCTTAATATTCATTTTCAATTTGTCGGTCTCGCGATTTCAGTTCTTTTTATTAATATATATACATAAAATTAGAATTAGAATTTTAATTTAGGCGCGTTTTTGTTTGATCTTGTGCAAAATGTCAGCATTTGTAACGTCAGCTGCCTGCGTGGCTCTAATTCAGTTGTTCCTGCTACATTTGGTGGCAGGCAAACAGTTTACCTGGTGTGATCGAGATCTGTGTGGTCCGGGCGTCAAACATATAGCCTGTCGCAACAATGGCGTAAGAGCAATTGAATCATTTGATAGAAATACGAATTCTTCAACTGTGTTTTGTTTGCTTGCAGCACTTCCACAGACGCTGCCAGCCGGACGCCTTCGAAGTGGACATCTCTCGGCATAAGCAGTACTTTGTACACAGCCATAACAAGCGTCGCAACTTCGTGGCACTGGGAAAGCTGCCGGGCTATTATCCTGCAGCGCGCATGACCACCATGGTGAGATTAGCTGAGAGATCTTTGAGCAGATTTTAGTTCCATATTGATGACTTCTGCGTGGTCAACTTAGGTCTGGGATGATGAGCTGCAGTATTTGTCTTCGTTGAATGTGCGCACCTGTGTATTGGATCACGATGATTGCCACAACACGTACAGATTTGCCAATTCAGGACAGAATCTATGTGCCATTTGGCGGGATCGCAACCCAAATGTGAATGTGACCAGCCTAATTGAGGAGTCGATGGGACTGTGGTTCAACGAATACGATTTGATCGACAGCAGCTACATCGACAAATTTCGTGTCACACAATATTTGTAAGTATATCGAACTCTCTGAATATTATATATTATATAACCCTCTATAACCCTCCTACAGTGAGGACTATGGCCACTTTGCGGAAATGATGGTGGATCGTAACTCGCGTGTTGGCTGCTCAATATTGCGTTTCACACGACCCGATTATCCCTATGTGTACATCTATAATGTCGTTTGTAATTATGCGTCCATCTACGCTTTGGATGCGCCCGTCTATGTAGTTGGGCGATCCACGTCCCGCTGCCAAACGGGCAGTAATCCATTCTATCCGGGTCTCTGCTCAGTAAGGGAACAATATGATCCTAACTACTGAGCGATCGGTGTAGTACCTTAGATATATAATGCTCAGGTATAGAACTGCCAAGATCTTAGTAAACATCGTCTGTATTGTATTTTTACATAAGATTGTAGTTAATGATAGTTGTAGTCTTTGTTTACCAATAAATAACACATACACAAATATTAAGCCACTATTTATTGACATAATAACACCCACTCGACAGCTTTTAGACGGACCAACATCAGCGTCTGTCATTGTATAATAATAATACTTTTAATTAGTTAATGATTTGTTGTAAAACAGCGAGCTAGCTAGTTAAACAGACAAAACTGTCGGTGAGTATTTAAATTTTGTTTTAACGAACTTAGCCAAATAATGCCAAAATTAATGAATGACAGCTGCGAGAAACAAGCTCATCAAGACGTGACCGACAACAATATGCCCTAACCAGGCAAAATCTGCCTAAATCCGATGAGAAAAAATCCAGGTTTAGGACATGACAAATCATAAATCAATCATAGCCGACTATAATATGTCCTCACCAGATCTAGGGTCAATAATACCGAATGTTAATATATTTTAATCGTGCTTGCTGAAAAAATATTAAAAATAGTCTGACCCTAAGGTAACACAAAAGCAAGATAGCCTGACTACAAAATGCTTAAGTAAAAGAAATATATATGGTAATATGCTCTATAATAGACGTATAAAAGTAACAGAATAAGCGAATAAAATATGTTATAAGATCTTAAGGTTCTGTTTTAGTAGTTTAGATATTTGGAAAGATCATTATCGCTCTCTTCATTGACGGCAGCTTGCTTTTTATAGTTTTAGTAGCCAAGCACAGATATTTGCATGTTTATGCATTTGTTTGCCTATATATGTATTTAACAAGTAGCCAGATATACCCCTGTCATTTGGAAGTAGCGGGCATTCAACAAAAGATTCGGTCCAGGTTAGACAGGTTAACATTTGATAGCAACACAGCACTTTCGTTTGTTGTTCCCAGACCAACAATGTGCCGAAAGCACATAAAGCTTTTGTTTGAATATGCAAATATCATTCTTATTCGCTTTTATGATTTTATCCGGCCAGCAAAACAGCTGCTGATCTGTGATGTTCGACGAAGAAGGCAGCAAAACAGCAAACCTGTATTGGGCAAGTCAAGCGATTCCAGCCTGTTGGATGCCGACACCACACTCTACCTACAGACGGCGTTAAATGTCACTGAACCAAGTGACAGGCAACACCCACATTGGCGCAACTCTCGTAGATGTCCGATCCTAAATGAACTTCATTCAACTTTGTTTGAATCAAATTAATGGGTTAATTTTCTCGGAAGACAAATATGAGTTGAATGTACTCGTACTATACTAAAGTTTTAACCTCAGTTACATGCTTTAAACGTAATGTTGAACTTGAATCTGATCTTAGTTTTATGTAGCAATAGTCAAGGGGCTTTTAATCCAGACTTACCCCAAATGTCCATCAGTTTGTATTTGGCCAACGCGCTGTTCGGACGCTTTCTTTACTAATTACTTAGCATAGCAAAACGATTTAGCACTATTACAATACACAATTAAACAAATTTTAATTGAACTTTATCAGTTTTAATTAAATCAAACACAAAAAACACTTGTCGCTTGCATTTGTCGATCCATTTTCTAGCTATCGATAACTATGTAAAGCGCTAGAAATCCTTCGTTAAGTTTAATGCTGATTGATTTGCCAATTGGACTATCGACATCCTATTTGTGCGATAAGTCTGAGCTCTAAGGAAACGCATATGTATATGTGTATCTTTCGTTAACGGCGCTGCCAACACTCCTAAGAGTCGAACAATTAACTCCTTGTTCAATGTAGTGCATTGAAAAACAAATTATTCAACTGAGTTATTAATTGTATATTAATAAATATAAAGGATATGGCTACAAAATCACGAACAACCATAAATAAATCAATTGTCAAGTTGATTGCAAGTTCAGGCTGTGGTTAGCTTAATCACTTGTGACGTCACTTCATACACTTAAACCGTTAATGCGTTTTCAATCAATTGAAACAAAGAGTGCGCGACCTGCCTTAAGCGACATATCGGATTATGTGATATGGATACTCAAAATCTCCAAAAATAAAATTCGATTTCGGATCGTTTTCATATAAATATATCGCAGGCGGCTGACAAAATTTGCATTTTCAATACGCTTACTGCAACAGACAGAACATGACTCGCAGGATTCATTTTGCATGCAGCTGCCTGCCGCCGCTGCTGCTGGTGCTGCTGCTTAACTTTAAAGCTGAGCTTGTGGCCAGCGAGCATTCATGGTGCGATCCTCAATTGTGTAATACGGGCAGCACTCACGTGGCCTGCAACAATACAGGCGTAAGTTGTTAACCTGGCTCAGCTGAGGAATCAGCATTGATTGTGTTTATTCTGTGCAGGAATTCAACGAGAATTGCGCTGAGGATGCAGTTATGATCAACTTGCAGCCACATCGTGACTTTATTCTGGCCGAGCACAACAAACGTCGTAACTTTATAGCCGCAGGGCATTTACCTGGTTATTATCCCGCCGCGCGCATGGCCACAATGATCTGGGACGAGGAACTGGAATACTTGGCCACCTTGAACTTGAAGACATGCGATCTGGAGCACGACGAGTGCAATAACTCGTATCGCTTCCGCAATGTCGGCCAGAATCTGTGTGGCGTGGATCGACCGCGCAACAGACCATTGAATGTCCGTGGCATTGTGGAGAACTCGATGGGCCTTTGGTTCGGCGAGTATCCACTTATCGACAGCAGCTACATAACCCAGTTCCGTGTGGCCAGGCATCTGTAAGTTAAACTGTGACACTTCTAAAATAGTTCAAATGGCTAAAGTCATCCTTTTGCAGTGATAAATATGGACACTTTGCGGAAACAGTGGTGGATCGCAATACGCACGTTGGCTGTGCTATGATGAGGTTTACCAATCCTCAATATCCCTTCCTCTATATCTACAACATGGCCTGCAACTATGCCAGCACCTATGCGGTTGGTGTGCACGTGTATAAGGTGGGCGAACCTGCCTCCGAATGCTTAACGGGTGCGAATCCCAAGTATCCCGCTCTGTGCTCCCTGAAGGAACAATATAATCCCAATTATAATGATTATTGATTAAACTGATTACCAAAGATATGACAAACAAAACGTTGATTTGTTGCACTTTCTTCCGGCTGCGTTCACTTCAAGCTTTTTTGTTAGCTCATTCGTCCAGCTTTTTATTTGCTTGTTCATGTTTCCGTCCAAAATAAAGCTGTTGATTCGGCTTAACGCTAATAAGTATTATTTTTGAAAACATCATTAAGACCGCACGCGACAAAAGTTGTGAAAAGTTCACAGTTGCACAGTGGGGCAAAACGGTGTTAAAATCGATCGAGAAAGGCTCGCTTTGAATCTAAAGTCAACGAGGTGTAATTTATAGGGCTTGAAATCGATTTTTATGATGTTTATTCACTGCCCCAAATTAAATGTTGACAGTCGTTTCATTGATTTATTAATTAAGCTTATATAAACAACTCATTGGAGATTATATAATAAAATATAATATATAGAGGGGTTTTTAATATCCAGTATTTCTACCTTGAATGAAGAACAATACATTGGTTTTCATCTGATCATATATAATTATATGATTTCTAATATATACGATATTAAATCGCAGTGTTAATCTTAATATTGCTCTAATTGAATACTGATATACATGTGATTGACCCAAACGCGTGGAGCTCATAACAAAACCGCAAAAAAAAACAAATTATAATTTGTAAATATTGTCTCAGGTGTCCCTTATTAATTAGTACAGACTACCCAAGCAACAGTTAGAAAGTGGAAAAATGACTCATACCCGTTTACTGTCGAGTTTCTCACTCAGCCAAAAGCAAGTGGGGTCAGCTGGCAGCTAGTTGAACCGCAAGTCAGGTTCAATCTCCGTTTAAGTTGAGGTAGAAGGCAGAAGATGCTACACAGTATTTCAGAATCTGGTAAATGCCAATGAGAGAATCGTTCTGCTCTGATTGATACATTTCCAGTCAAATCAACCTTCAACGTATACAAATTCCGCCAAAACGACAATACGTCCTGCCACCCATCCACTTTGAATGCATTATCTACTTGATGAAATGCCTATGCACATAAACATAAGGCACTCAGGGAGCAGCGCCGGGCAGCTGAGGAAAGGGTAAGGAGTTACTTGAGCTGGGCTCGTAGATGTCGACATTTCTCACTCAATTCTGGCCAATTTACGAGGCATTGTTGAGCCTGTGGCTGGTTAAACTAAACACAACTGGATCAGCGTCCATAAAACTTGCGGCCACATGTGTGGGATTTGGATTGTGAGGCGCAGGCCACACAGCTGACAGGGGATCACAGCCCACACGTTGCATGCCAGACGCAGCGTCTGGCTAGGCAGCCAGGCAGCTAGGCGGGCTGCAGCTGGGTCTGGAACAATGCGTGTGTAAACGTGTAGCTATATCTCTGACTTTTATCGTGTTTTATCTGCAACGATGCATCATAAACGAGTCCACACACACACACACAAACAAAGACACACATGCATACACTCGCCCACATGACTAGAACTTCGGTGGCAGGCCAAAGCAATTCCAGTTCTATTGGCATCAAAGCCACAGCTCAGAATGCAAAACACAATTAATCCACAGTCAACCATCGATGGCTCACACATAAATATTGTAGAATATAATATATATATATTCATATTAAAGAATTAATATAAAATATATTTCATTAACAAAACATAAATGTTTTTGCGTCAAAGTGTTTTAATTAACATGAATTTAATTGCTCTTAATTTATGCTTTTGTTATCTTATTTCACAATATATATATCTACAAATATATGCATATATATGCATATATATGAGATACGATATTTACTGAGACTGGGACTGGTGTCAACCTAGTCGCAAGTTTCCTTTAAGTAATACACCATGCGAAATCTCCAGCCGAGACTTGGGAATTACTCTGAAGCACTCGACTTCTGAGCTGCTTCGGTGTTTTGTATATAGTTTTACTTTACATGTATAGGTACAATTCTTATAAACTGCCATGAATTAACGCTTCATCCCAAATCCTAAGCTTCTTTATGCTGTCTTATAAACTGAACTCTTTAAGAACTCTTCAAAATGCACTTTAAGCACGCTGAAAGCTTGTACAACTTCAACTGTTTTTCAGTTCACAGAAATTAACATTTCTTCACACATATTTTACAACGCCTCCACGAGTTAAGCTTGCTGGGTGTTACCACCAAATGCCCAAATCACTGAACAGCTCCTCGGTGGTTGGCAGCTCAAAATCCTCGTTGACCCACTCGGAGCGTTTGCCTTTCTTTTGCTCCTTTTCGTCACCTTCGGCGCCGGCTGCTGGGCCATAGTCCTTGCGATAGCCCATGTCCCGCAAATCCTCCTCATCGTATTCCTCCTCATCCTCCACAGCTTCCAAGGAGCTGCTCAAATTGGGCTTGCCAGCACGCGGCACAGGCGCCTTTTTGTCACCCAACATACGCTGCATGTTCCCAATCTCATTCAGCTGCGGCACGGGCTGCACCTGCTCAACTGTTTGCTCCGTAGCTGGCGTCTGCTTCGCCGCCTGCTCATCCGTTGAGGACGAGGCTAGGCGCACGATGCGGTCGAACAGCGTCGCAAAATGACGTCTAAAGCGGCTGTAGTCAAAGCTGTCCCTGTTGCTAGTGTTGCCATCCAGCAGGCCATGGGTTGATGTCGACTTGGAGCGCATCAGCGGTCCAAAATGATGCAGCATATCAATACCAGGCGCCATTGATTCCTCCCAGCTCTATGTGCGAACACCCATATGTAATTGTATTTTTATTTTTAGACATGCGTCATGCTCACTACCCACCAGTTCGGTCCAATCCTCAACAGGCACGCTCAGCACTGAGTTGACAACATTCACCACACGCTCCTCCAGGTTCAATGCATGAATTATCCATTTGGCTAAAGCTACGGCGCAGTTGAGGTCGCTGCGCTGCCTGGACACGAGCCGAACAAACAACAATAAACAAGAAATTGGTCAATAAGTACACATACGCTTAGATACAGTGGCTAAAAAAATGAAAAACTTATTGGAAAAATCTCCTATAACAATTTAATTGTACAAAATAGATATTCCTACTATATCAAAAAATCAGATCAATTTATATCAAATCAAGTTGGCTTCAGATCTCTAAAAGCTTAAATATCTCTGTATAAAGTTTCATAAGCCAAGCTTTACTAGCTCCAAGTTAGTTCAATCAATATTGAGTAAATATATCTCACCCACTGTAGCCAGTGAGTGGGTGACTAATTACAGTTGGCCGCATAGATATTTACCTGTGCTCATCCCGCCGTATTTCAACCAATTTGTCCCCCTCCAGTATCAGGTGGTCGTAGTTCGCCTCGATTTGCATGGTGAGAGCCTCTTTGGGTTCGCTCTCCGTTTGTTCTTGTAGCTGGCGTTGTAGTGTTTTGAACTGTTGCCATAGCTCGTCCAATTGTTCCTGCAAAGCCATAACAATAAGCACCTCCAATTACCCTTCTCCTCTCTCGCTCTCGCCCCATCTCACCCACCGTTTGCTTGCGTATGTTCTGCTGTGTCTCGTGGTGCACGTCGGCGCGATGTAGAATGGGTTGGGTGGGTATAAAGGGGGCGGCCATGATGCGTTCCACACAGCGATTGAGTACGCCGCGCTTGGGCTTCTTCTTGTGCATCTTAAGCAGGCTGGCATCATTATCCAGTTGCATAGTGGTGTCCACAATGCGCTCCAGGATCATGGCAAATGTTTCCACACAATCCGATTGTATTCTATGGCAAAACGAACTACAGTGAGGCAAAGCTAAGTGAGTTGTTAAGCGTACCTAACGCGGTTGGAGTTCTTGGCTGCCACCACGGTGATAACCTCTGTTATTTTGTCCAAGCCAGGGCAGAGCAGCTGCAAGCCCAGTGCCTGCGCCTCGCTATCCACCTCCAGAAACTCGCTGAAGAAGGTCACCAGCTTGGGCGGCACATGTTTGCTGGTGATGGTGTAGGTCAGCTTAATGCCCGCCGCCTTCTGTGGCTGGCAGCTGCGATAGAACATGGACAGGGGTAGACAAGCGCTCTGCTGCAGCACACGTGGTATGCCCTGTGGGGGAGCAGGCGGAGATTGGTGAAGCAGCACTTACTCTAATAGAAATACTTACCCTTGGACTAACGAATGATGCAAAGACCTCGACCCGTGTACTGTGTATGTGCAACAGTTCAGCCATGTAGAAGTCTAGAGGCAGCTCTCGGGTGGTGCCCGCTGGCACATCCACCAGGCTGAGCGTCTCCTGGCTGCAGCGCACGCCACTGGGCGCTTTGATAACCACTTGGAGTTCCGCCAATTCGGCCTTGACTTTCACCTTAAGCAAGCCCTTGGCTGAAGGCAGCTCCTTGACGGCCACATCGGCCGGCACATCCAGCAGCAGCGTGTCCAGATCGTCAAACACTTCGCGCTGTATGCTGAAGCTGAGACGCACCTGATCGGCGGCCTGCTGATTGAGCGCATCCATGTCACGTATATCCACTGACTCCTTGATCTCATCCTCCAACTGCTGCAGCTGCTTGTGTGCCTCGGCAAAACTCAACTCCTCAATGTTGAGCGGCAGCACCTGAAACTGATACGGCTGAGCGCCCAAATAGCCCACAGTCAGCTGCCCCGTGGCAGTCAGAGTAACAATGCTGCCCGCCAGGCTCTGGACATTGGAACGCTGAATGGCCACTGGAGCCGGCTGCTGCCACTGGGCGGCCCAAATGATGTTGGCCTCCTCATAGATGTGCAGCTTGGCAGCATCCGAGACAATGGCCGTTATCAGACGTGCGCCGGGCTCTATAGAAAATAAATCTCTATGAAAGCTAATCCTAGCTATATGCTACATACTTCAGCTCTTACCCCAATAGTAGCCGACGACAAAGCTGTAGAAGCACTTGGGTGCATAGTCCAGCTTCAATATAAAATTAAATTTCCCATTGTCGTCCAAGCAGATGAAATTGCGTTCACCCAGTATCATGATATAGGAGCAGCTTCTGCGGATTGTCAACTGTGAATCGAATGCAGTTTTTAGCCAAGCTCACTCACTCCTTTAGCTGAACTATGTGCATGTCTAGTATGCCCTCGCCGATGCACTGCGACCAGATGGGCTGATAGCTGCTCTTGGTGACCAGCGAATGCGACAGATCCTGATAGCTGTAGCACTGCAGATGCCAGGTGGCGCTCAAGCGAAAGAAGCTATCGGTGCGCTCGCAGTAGACCACCGGAGCGGGCAGACTGCGTTGTCCGGGAAAGCGGCACTCGTACGAGATGCCATCCTGCTCATAGAAAGTGAGCGTGCCATCCAGATGCACCACACAGAAGAACTCACGTCCCTTCACCTGCCCAAAGTGACCCTGACACATCGAGAAGGCAACCCGCTGAAACTTGTGCTCCGCCAGCTGCTGCAGCTTCAGCTGCGTGCCATACTCGGCCAAGCCACTCAGCGACTGCACATTATAGATGACAAAGGCATTGGGCAGCAGCACGCCCAGCTGATTAACGTTCTCATTGCGCACATTACTGCGAATAAATAAGGTATTATTCCTCTAAAGGCCTTGCACTGCTGCAGCTCGACTACCCGCTAAATTTGCCTGCATACAAGCCTAGTATGGGCGCCACCAGCTGCGTCTCCAGCAGCAAGTCCGTGGCCTCAAATACATTGCTATGCGGATAGTAGATGCTCAGATTGCCGGACTGTGAGCCCACAATGATGTAGTCCTTCTCCTGCGCTTCCAGTCCGAAACGCGCACACAACAAACTGGCCACATCATAGTCGCCAAATGTGTCGCCACATTGCGCTGACCACCAGCTGCACACGTTGAACAGAGACATGCTCCAAACCGACTGCGAAGCGTTTTCAATATAGCTATGCGATGTGGGCTCTTGTTGTGCCACCTGACTGTTGTCATGGAAATGTAGCAGGTCACAATAAACTAAGCAACTTGCCACAAGGGTTGCACAATTGGGTAAGTTTTTTTTTCCTTAAATTCTTTTTTACTTCCCCGACGAAGCAGAAAATTAATTTTGCATCGAAATTCCAATTATTATATAGTTCATCTAGTAGCTAATCAAGATATTCAGGAATATGGAAATCCCGGAAGTTATGTAAAGGCTATACCCTTTTGTTATTAGCCCAATATCCAAGAATGATGTTTCAAGTTATTCAAATTATGTTTCATCCTGCCGCATGTCCCAAATGCCCAACAGATATGGCAAATGGAGCGCAAGTATTCCTTGTTTTATGGCCTGAAACAGACGGTTCCATATTCCTCAGCATAAACAGCCTTTGCTGTGATTACAATTAAAAATGCAATTGGTATTTACAATTATAATACTTTTTTCTTGTTTTTAAATTTATACTATATCATAGATTATTTAGATATTTATGCATATTAAAAACATTATAGTTAAAATCTATATATTATTATTATATCTATAAGCTATGAGAAGCTTAAGGAATAAGATTTACAGAATTGCGGTTTCAATTGAGTTTGGCTACATAATAATAATACAACTAAAAATTATTTATATATAATTACAATTAACAACAGACTTAAGATGTCTGTGTATCTGTGTGTGTGTTTGTGTGTGTAGTGTGTTTGAGTGTGTGCCACGCCCTTCACACAACATCATCACCAAAAATCCTGATCAGGATCCTGCAGCAGGCAAGGAGACGCCGGCTCATGGCTGTAAAACCAATCGAAACAAAAGGTTTTTAAGTACGATTTAAGCAATGATTGATTCGTTGACTGACTGATTGATCGATTAATTGGTTGGTGGGTTTAATTTGATTGATTGACGGACAGGTTGAACAAGTAATGAAATAATGAGCGAACATTCAATAATTTTGTTGGGTCACAGCTGATATCGAAATTGTCGGCGTCTAAAATTGACCCGTTGTAATTGTAGCGACGATGCATTTTTTTGTGGTTGTGGTTGTTGTGGTGCTTGTAATTGTAATTGAATTTGCTACAGTGGTGGTGGTGCTTGTTGTAGTTGAAGTGGTTGTGTGGGTGTTCGTTATGATGCTGCGCCGATTGCGTGGACGTGCGCCAACTCTTGTGCGATGATTCGCTAAATGTTATTCTTTCTCGCTTCTGATCATGATCTTTTTCTTCACCAGCGTTCGTACCTGTTGCGTTGTTGGCAGCTGTTGCTGCTGTTGTTGAACAACCCCAACCTGCTGCTGCTGCTGTTGTTGCTGTTGTTGTTGCTGTTGCTGCTGTTGCTGCTGCTGTTGCAGACTGGCAACTGTTGGCAACGGCGCTGTAGTTTGTGTTATGGTCATAACCTCTGCCGGACCAGATGAGGGTCCAGCAAGAGTTGCAAGTTGTTGCTGTTGCTGTTGTTGTTGCTGTTGCTGCTGCTGCTGTTGCTGTACCACAGCTAGCAAATTGCCCGCTGCTGTGGTTTGCAGGCGCACAGGGCTAGCATTCTGCCTTTGATTATGCTGCAGTGCCGCAATCAGCGTCTGCTGAGTTGCCTGACCAACGCCGGAGGCAACCTTCAAGGCGTTGCGCAGGTTACCAGCAGCTAAAGTCTGCGCAGCGGAAACCACCTATAATAATTAAAGATATCAATACAAGTTTAACTTGATCAAATATTATTCAATTTTCTTACCTGTATGGTTTGCCGCTGCGTGGCTTGTGACGCTACAGAAACGGGTATGACGCGCCCTACACTTGTCTTGCTTAGAACGATGCCCGTTTGTTGTCCGCTGCGCACGACCTGCTGTATTTGTTGCACGGTCACGGCTTTAGTATTTTGTATGTGCAACAATTGGGCCTGCAAACTGCCACCACCTTGTGCCGCCTTCTGTTGTTGTTGCTGCTGTTGCTGTTGTCCTGCAGGCGAGACGGTGACACCGCCTGGCGTTTGTTGCTGCTGTTGAGGGCCACTCGTTGTGGCCACAATGTTGGTGGCCGTGGGTTGACCAGACGCGCTTACCAATTGTGTCATACGGTTAATCTTACGCGACATGCCCAACTGCTGTGGCACATGCAAGTGGCGCATTTGATTTGGCATCGTCACCTTTATATGGCTGCCCGGCTTCAGCTGTGGCAGTGTCATGTTTACACTGCCTGCCTGCACTGTGGGTGGACCCGTGGCTGAGACTGTGACGCCGCCAGCACTGACACTGTTGCCACTTGCTGCTGCTGCTGTCGATGCCTTAACTAGTGTGGCAATTTGCTGCGTTTGCTGCTGCTGTTGTTGCACGACACCAGCAACAGGCAACTGTTGTTGCTGCTGTTGTTGTTGCTGCTGCACGGCAGTGCTGCTGCTGCTGGTCGTGAATAGCGGCCCGGTGGCCTGTTGCGCCTTTTGAGCCGCCAGTATGTTGTGCCGCTTGACAAGCAGCACATCACTCGTACCTGGTGCGACGGTAGCGCCACTGCCATCCGTAGTCAACACCTGACGCTGCAGGCCCTGCTTACCGGCTGTCATTTGCTTGATGAGCTGCGTTCTCGCCTGTCCGTGCATCTGCACCGAGCTAACCACATTGCCTGCCTGCACAGTGGTTGCGCCCGGCATCCCGGAAACTGCGACTTTCTGGCTGGTGACATGTGTGGACGTTTGCATCAGATTGCTCGCTTGAATGATTGTGCCAGTGGCTAAGGCGCCACCTGCTGTTTGTACGACAGTCGGATTAAGACCAGCTGTGGCGCCGCCGCCTGCAGGCGCTCCCTGTGAGGCTTGCAACACCTTCAGATTGCGCTGCCGATAGAGTTGAATATGCGCCGCCTGCTGCTGGGTGCCAGGCAGCACCGCCTTGCCGCCCTGCTGCAATGCGCTGACAGGTATACCCTTGGTGGTGACCAATTGGGTTGTCTGGGTAGCGGGTGATCCTGATACTGCTGCCAGACGTAGCTGCGTTTGGAATTGAGCGGGCGTCACACCTTGCCCAAGGCTGGGCATAGATACAATGGACTGTCCACCAGCCGTGGTCCGTTGTTGGAGAACCACATCCTGCAGAGTATTGCCGCCACCTGTAGCAGCTGACACAATTCGCTGGCCTCGCAACATCGTCACTGTACCCGTCGAATGTTGCTGTTGTTGCTGGTGCTGCCCGGTGGCTGTGGTGGTCAGTGGACCAACCGATACAACTTGTGGCAATGTCTGGGTCTGAACAATGCTGCCCACTTGTGGCGCCGTATTCACGGGCAGCGTTGTCTGCGATGAGATGGACACTATCTGAGCTGTGGAGCCATTATTGTGCGTTGCGATGGGCAGAGATTGCACCGGCGTGGTTAGCACCACACTGACGCTCGACTGGCTGCCTGGCGGAGCCGCTTGAAGCTGCACACTGCCACCTGCATTGCCCGACGTTTGCTGCGCCAGCTGCTGCAGTTGACCAGCTGTGAGGTTGGCAGTGGTGCCTACAATGGTCTTCACCAGCTGCTGCGTTGTTGTCTGTGTTCGCAGTTGCTGCTGCTGCTGCGGCTGATGCAGCAGTATAGCCGTCTGTTGCGTAGGTGCGACATTGGCACTGGTCAGATGCTGTATCTGCAGTTGCTGCAATTGGCCAGTGTTGCCCGCAGGCACAGCAACAGTTGTTGTTGTGCTAGGTCCCAACTCAACTGATTGCTGCACATTGCCAACTGTTGGCAGTTGCTGCAATTGTTGTTGTTGCTGTTGTTGTTGCTGCTGTTGTTGCTGCTGCTGCTGCACCTGCTGGTGCTGCATTTGTTGCTGGTGCTGCTGCACCGTCTGTTGTTGCTGCTGAACGGGCTGTGGTTGTTGCTGCTGCACCTGCTGCTGCTGCTGTTGTGGCTGTTGCTGTTGCATTGGCATTTGGCTACGCTGCTTATCACGTATTTTGTTAGCTTTCATCACGGCTATATTACTGGGCGATACGGGTTGATCATAGTTATTAATACCAAACTTCTGCAGCACCTCCATATGCTTAGGATTCATCAGGTTGGGTGCATTATACTGACGCTTCGGTGCCGGCGCCTTCTTCAAATAGGTGGTCTTGATGGTATCAAATCGCTGCCGCATCACCTTATAGAAGGAGGCATTGTTATCACTGGCATAGAGCTGTGTGGTGCGCAAATAGCGCAACGGACTCTTCATGTACTCCATGCGCAGCGTGGGCTTTAGTTTCTTTTGCTTCTTGGGACTCTCGACCACTTTGCCCTCCTCACGTGGTTGAATGTGAGTCTCGTAACGCCAACGGCACTGCCTGGCCGAGCGATACGTTTTCGAGCAAAAGTTCACTAGTTCCGAGACCAGATCCCAATTCGGCGTCTGTCCCGGCGAGAGCAGCATCAGGCTGCATGGCAGACCCTGCAAATTGATCAGCACATGAAGTATGGCCATGTCCTCGAACACGCACCACTCACTCATGGCCTCTGGCTCAGTCAGCGGCTTCGCCGGCAACTGTGGCTTCAGACCAGGTATCATCGAATTGGGCTTAAAACTGCCTCGGAACCGTTGATTCTTTAGCTCACGCCGCAGACGAGCCAGCTGCGCTGTGGGTCGATCAAATAACGAACGTGGCGGCACATAGTTATCCTCGCGTCGCATTTTATTGGGACGCCGACTGCCATCGAAGCCGGCATCGGTGCGCGAACGCTTAAGCTCGCGGCGCACATAAACGGGCGGTAGCTCCGTTTCGGGTATCGGCTCCAGGTCGTACATAAACGACAGAGAATGATCAATATAGATGTCATTATTGTCTTGCGGTGGCGTGGGCGGGCACCACATCTAATCAAAAACAAATACCAATCGATTATAACAATGGGAAACACTTCGTCAGTACAACTGATCCACTTACCGGCATCTGCTCCATGCTATTGCGCGATATCCAGACCTGAAGACGTGCGAGCGCGTGCGTTAATGCGGGCCGAGCAAAGTTAAAGAAAAGAATAAACGTTTCATTATATTATTTTCGTATCGTATGAAGCAACTCTGTTTTGGTGGTGGTGTTTATTGGCTTAGTAACTAGCTAACTATGGTATCATCGTATCGATCATATCAACTTTAAAGTATGAATTAGCGTTGTAGCTTTCTCTTTTTGTTTTATTTCCGGAACCATTTCGTACGGCACTGAAGAACAATTGGCAAAGTATATGGAACTTTCTATACGCGGAAATCGATGGAGGCTGGGAGTATGGATTGAATGGGTAAGGTAAAGGTAAATGGGCCAACATATAAACCAACGAACATACAATTAATTGTATTAAAATATATATTATTATTTTTGAATGAAATACTTGTAGTTATTTTTTTTTTCATTATCTTTAGCGACACCAAAACAGAATTCTACATTCGTTAACACAGAAAATAATATGATTCAATCTTATTCTTTCGTATGATTTCCGCTTATTCTTTTCCAACTTTGTGCAATTGTCTTCGAAATGTTTTTCTTTTTGTTTTTTAATAAAAATACGCACGAAATTTATCCGTAGAAATAAAAACCACAACGTCTTAAAGTTTCTTTATCATATTTTTTTTTTTTTTGAAAGCATGTCGAATCGATTTTTGTGTTTTATTTGTTAGTCAATCTGTATGCTTATAGTCTTTAGATTGATTTTGTTAATGCTAAACTAGTTTTTTCTTTAGAATACAAAATAAATTATTGAATGCAAAAATATTAACATTTACCATAGAGTTAAAAAGAGTTACCTAAGGAGTGATACTTATAAACTAAGGCGCATTAGCTGAGGAGAGTTCTTTGAAGACTTAGATAGAGAACAGAAATTTAACAACGAAATTAATAATAATACAATTGGAGTTGTTTTTAGTTACTTCTTTTTAAAAAGTTAACCGCACACTGCTTAAATAATATATATATATTTAATCTAAAAACTATATTCTGATGATATATCCGTTTGTTGATGCGTGTATTTTTATATACAATCTGGGTTTGTGTTTCTTAACTTAATTTATCTTGCATTCGGGGCAGGGGGCAGCACCTATCAATTGTTTGTAACCTGTGTCACTTAAATTAAAATTAAAATCTTAAGTAATTTTATGTTTTCCTTTTAACAAAATATCAGTATTATGCGGCAAATAGCTTTACAAGCTTATTTAATTTAGGTTGAATTCGATTGCATTTTGGCAATTAAAAACAGTTAGAACTAGTCGAGTGGCTGCCCCCTACATCGCACTACCTAAACTAAACACAATTTGTTATCCTAAACTTTCGTTCTTCCCCAAACTACTTTCTGTTTCTCACTGCCTTTAATTGGTTTTGCCACCTAACTAGCTTAGAAGGAAACTTGTTACAGTCTATTAAATACTCGTACATAGTTCAATAGCAGCTTCACAGTCACGTGGCCAATTTGAATGCTCACTAAAAACCACACCGCGCACACAACTTTAGAGCTTCACAGATTGAACGAGGATTTGCAGCAGGATTCTAGTGATTTCGTTATATATAGTTAATACTGTGACTTCGTTTCTCTTACTCAATTATCACCTATTACTGCTGGCACCATTGGCGCCCGCCTTGGATGCCACTGCTGCTCCCGTTGAGCTGCTGGCTGCACCTGCATTGCTGCTGCTATTGGTGGGCATGGCAGTCCCTGCATTGCTGGAGCGTAAACGCACACGCGGCGTCTGTGTTATCCAACGATTGAGTGTTGTCGTTTGCCCCTCATTTACTTTCTTAACGAGTCGCCTTTTAGCACCAGCTTGCTGGCGCTGGCGCCCCTTTAGCTTTGTCTCTACTAGTGGCGTCGTTCGCTTCATGCTTTTGCCAGCTGCGCCTCCGCTGCCTTTCTGCACATTCGCCACCGGACTCACATCCAAAGTCCAGAGATTTATCTTTACCGAACCACGCGAACGTGTTCGTGGTGTGTGTCCAATCGGCTCATCGCTGCCGCCACGGCTACTGTTGCTGCGCTGCCTCTGCAGTGCTGGTGTCGATTCCTTGGTTTCCGTTTGGTTTTCTGCCTTGGACATCGATAGCGGATCATTGGGCTCGTCTGTGTCCGACTCTTCGGAAACGTTGTAATATGTAGAACTGGTCATAGTGGTATCTTGGACCTGATTGTGTGCATTCCAGCCATCCAAGCTATCACCGCCCTCACCGGCTGTAGCATAGCTTGAACTGGACTGTGTTTCCACATTAAGCCCTTCATCCTCCTCCTCTTCTTCTTCACTTATAACTTCCACATGCAATTCTTCATCTTCAGTTTGTGTTGTATCCTCCTGTGCCGAGACAGACGCTGAGCCAGAGACTGCAGTTTCTGCTTCATCTTCTTCATCTTTATCTTCATCGTCGTCCACCTGAACGGATGCATTCTCCTCTTCGCTATCAGCTTCGGCGTCCTCAGCATCATCGCCATCATCTTTTTCATTATTATCTTCCTCATCTTCACTATCGTTGCCTTTCAGGGCCAACGGAGATGATATCGTTGCACGTCGCTCGAGCAGCTTCCGCCGATTGGCTGCACTTATTGTTAGTGAAGCGCTTTCTCTGCGTTTCGGTTTGGCCACTTGCGTGGAATTCTTGGCAGGTGTGGTTGCTGTAGTTGCTGGAGGTTTTAAGATCGTCTTCATTAGCTTAGTCATGGCTATATTGGCCGACAGACGCTTGGGTCGCTCCTCCGAAATGGGCGTTGAAGTACCACCTGCTGCTGCCATTGCTGTGCGCGTTGTCTTTCTAGTGGGCGGTGTCGCTGTGGTCGTGACTGTTGGCCTGACAGTAACATTATCTTCGCCTAGCGAATGCAGACGTGTCTGTCGCCTGGCTAGCGCTGTCCCAGTCACCGGCTTTTTACTGCTATTGTTACTGTTGCAGCTGCTCCTGGCCGGAGCACTCACATTGAGGCTATTCCGACGCGTGCGTACTGGACTAGCCTGCTGCACATTTGATCTTGACTTCTGGTTGCTTACACTTCTACTCAAACCCAGACCACCCCTGGATGAACCCTGATGCTTAAACCGTTTATCACGCTTATTCTGCTTGGTTAGTCTAATACCTCCTACTCCTACAATCGATGTTCGTTTACTTAGATTGGAATCTTGTTTGGTATTAACCTGATTACTGGCATCCTTGCGACTGTATGTCAGCAGCTCCTCGGACTCCGTTTCCTGCTTGAGCAGCTGCTCCTCTTTTTGCATAGCTGCCAATCGATTAGCCTCCCATTCACGTTTCTGCATCTCAAGCTCCGCCTCGGCGGCGCGCAGCTGCTCAGCTGTCCAGGCTGCGCCGGTAGCCTCCACGAAACGCATTGCATAACGTTCGATTGGCGAGAGCTAAAAATAGATGTAAATAAATCGCATTAGGAGAATATTCTGTAATAACAGAATCCAGTGATTATGTCCGACGTTGAGTGATATAACCGGGCGTGAAATTGAATCGCTTCGACTATGTCTGAACGTCTGCTTCATGTTGAAGTTTCTCTGGGCAGCGCTAGCTAGCTCAAAGAGCCACTAAAAAGCTACTTCAATAGAAGCTAACGCTGTCCATGCTCGCATAATTAAATAGTTAACAACTTACCTGCTTAACAAGATTTTGCATTTCCAGATCGGCTTTGCTCAGTTCAACCGGCGCATTTCCACCATCTGGATTAGCCTCATCCGCAATGGGTATGTTCTCATCGAACTCAGCCAGATCGGCTGCCGCTTCAGCCTTAGCCGTCTTAGTGGCTTGCACATCCTGCTCATCCTCAGCAGCGGCAAGGGCATGCTCAAAGGCGCGCAGCGATTGCTTCTCAGTTTCGACGGCAGGTTCTATTTCAGCAGCAATTATTTTGTCCTTTTCATCGGGCTTATCCTGACCATCGTCCGTCTCCTGATTCTGATCGATGGTAAACAAATCTTTGATGGTGGAGCTTTTGAAGAAGGTAGTCGTAAAGTTGCCACCCTCTATGGCCATGTCGCTAAGCATGCGTTTCTGATTGGCTTTCTTCAGGATGTTCACTTCAATAGTTTTCTCCGAGACCAGCCGATATATATGGACATCTCGAGTTTGCCCAATCCGATGGCAGCGATCCTGTGCCTGGGCATCCATTGTAGGATTCCAGTCAGAGTCATAGAAGATCACAGTATCAGCGCCGGTCAAGTTTACACCCACACCTCCAGAGCGTGTAGACAAAATGAAGCAAAAGATGCGCTTGTCACCATTGAAACGCTCCATAAGTATTTGTCGCTGCTCCACACGTGTTGAGCCATCAAGGCGCAGGTAAATGTGACCATGATAATTAAGGAATGCCTCTAACACGTCCAGCATTTTGGTCATTTGCGTGAAGATCAGCACACGATGCCCATCAACCTTTAACTGACGCAGCAGACGATCCAATGTTTGCAGCTTGCCACAATCGTATTGAATAAGACGGGGATCGGGAAACTGGGTTGTCATCGCCGAGATGATGGGATGCAGCAGCGCCAACTTAGGCGATAACGATTGAGCTACTGTCGTCTCAATCTGTCGTTCGTTTTGCCAGTGCGACGACGACAAATTCTGTACATAGCGACGTATTCGTGGCGCACACACCGACGGCACATAAATTACGAAATTGGCAAAGATGGGCGACAGTTCGGAACAACGCTGCTCAAAACTCTTCAGCAGGTGATTTAATGACCAGTTGTCATTGTGATGCCGCATGGCAACGGAACAATTCGCATATCCTCGCGTTTGCCATGTGGAATGCTTCGATGTGCGCGTTGCCTGCATGCAACTTTCTATTGTCTGACGGCAATCAGCTCCATAAATCGGTGTGGCATCAGTTCTTCGGCGATTGATGTGAGCCATGCGCTTAAGCGAAGCCAAACGCTGTTCTTTTCGCATTTGTATTAGTTGCTGAACGCGGTAGGGATCTTCAGCCTCTTCAGGCGTTGATTTCGAGTCCTCTTCCTGAGACTTTCCATTGGTTTGCCTTTGTACCGTCAGTTTAACATGCGTCGCCAGATCTTTGACAATGGGATCCTTGCTCAACTGTTGCATTTGTGTTGCAGAGTTGCTGCTCGTTGTCGTTGCGCTGACTGCTGTTGCACTTACGGTTGTTGATGTAGATTTGCTAGTCAAAGTAAGCCGCGCTCCAGCACCACCAGTATTTGTCGCAGGTGCTAAATAGAAAAAGGGTTTACCATCCTGCATTGTCTTGGCCACCTTGGCTGGCGTTGGAGCACTTATGGGCGAACGAGAACTTAAAAGCTTGGAGCTATTACCCAGTACATTGAGCGCTGTGCTTCCGCTGCTATTGCTCGACGGCGTTGACGTGAGACTATTTATTATCACAGGCTTCAATGCCATATTGATAGGATTAATAGTGCCGCTGACACGTTTCAGCACATGTCCACTGGGCAACAAGGTGCGCATGGGCACGATTTTTGAGCCTTCAAGTCTCATGGCGGGACTCGCGCCCACACGCACCGCTTGCAGCTTTATCCGCTGTGCCAGCTCTGCGCTACGCACACGTATATGAAAGCGGTACTTGCCATTCGGGCAACGCGGCGGAGGTTGAGGCGCACTGTCGATTTCCTCAATCAATTTACGTGGAGGCGACAACAGACGCGACTTGTGTGAGACGTAGGCAGTAAGCGTTTGTTCCAGATTCAGTAACAACATGTTAACAGTCTCCAAATTGATTTGCTACAAGTGAAAATGAATACAGCACTATTAGTTGATTTACAGTTTTTGTTATCAATATCAGATCTGATCTGATTTAAAATCAGGCAAATGCCTCGCAACAGCGAACATCCTAGTGAATCGCAACTCTCTCCAAAATAGATTGAGTCGCAATGTTCAGTGACAGTTTATCATCATTTTAACATTCAAATATTTGTGCTTCTATCATACACAAACTCACCGTGAACGGATCATACTCCATGATGTCGCTGACTAGACGTGGTGTATGGAACGCAATGCCCTCCATTTGAAATGGCGATATCGTTGGACGCACCTCAAACATATTTGGGTGATTGCACACCTTACGTAGCTGCATAAGCACATTGATCACACTCAGCAAATTGCCAGTTTGTAATGTTTCTCGAGTTCTGCAAAATAAAATTGCCTAATATAAAACTTCAATTGATGTTAGTTAATTTTATAAACTCACTTGGATCGGCTCATGAAATCTTCATACAGATAACGTTGACGATTCGACAGACGGCACATAACAACATGTTCGTATTTTTTTGGCATTTGCTTCTCCACTTCTTTTTTAAGCCGACGCAGCAAAAATGGACGTATGACCTAAATAAAAATACAAATATATTGAACATTTAATACAGGCTAAAAATTCAAATTCATCGAGTTGGTATTTAAGCTAATGCAATGTAAAGTGCGCATTCAATGTAATCAGCTTTAAATCACGATCACATGGATAAGTCGCAACTTCAATTTACTTTAGCAAGGTTAACAAATTGTCATCACATGTGGACATAATTCAATGTGACACAGAGTGCGCCTGCATAAAAACTTCCAAGATCAATAATTTTCAATAGACAGACTACATTTACAAATAAATAACATATTTAAACGAGTGTAAGTCGCGTTTTCAATGTAATCCGTTGGATGTACAGGACCACATGGATAAATCGCAGCTCTCATTTTCTATAGCAAGGTTAACAAATTGTCATCACATGTGGATATAATTCAATGTGACACAGAGTGCGCCTGCATAAAAGGATTATTAATTTAGCCAATAAGAGTAGAGAATACAATTTATAAATTCAATGTGATCGAGACTGCTCTTGCAAAGGATGACATACTTCTGATCATTAATTTAATTACGATGTGCGTGGTGTTATTGGAGTTAACGCATTAATTGGCATCAAATCACTTGCAACCGCAGCAATTGCTCTGGCACACATCAACGATTTTCAGGAGCATTTAAAAAGCTATCAAGAAAACGCTTTTAGGTGCTACTATATCATATATCTACCGCATCTAAAAGTAAATTCTCAAATGTGCTCAGCGTTATGGACTCTTTTAATAAACTACAAAAAGTCACTTGCAACTGTGCTTTGATCTAGCACACACTAACGATTTTCAAGCGCATTGAATTGGCGTACAAGAAAACGCTTTTGGGTGCTACCCATTATGAACTTTACAACCTAACACCTAAAATCAACTTTATTTACCTTGTGTAGTCGAGCAATTAATGTTTCGTTGTACTCCATGTTGCCTTCGATCATGCCAGTCATGGGGTTGGAGAACCATTCCTTGAACTCGCGATGCGAGGAGAACACATAAGGCATGAGAAAGTGCATCAGGGACCAGAGCTCCATAAGATCGTTTTGCAGTGGCGTGCCCGTTAAGAGCAAGCGTCTGTTATAAATGGAAAATATAATTTTATTTATAAGTAATCAGCAATTTTAAGAAAAATTTAACTTTACTATTTGAAAACTTAAAGGAATTAAAAGAATCAATACAAACTCATTATTTTTTAAGAAGTCAGTAATCAAATATACAATGCAAACAAGAAACTGCAAAACAAATCAAAACTTGTTACAAAACAACGCCATAAGCATTCTAATGGGTTAGTATGCTCTTTTAATAAATGCGGCATTATAGCGTATATTAATTTTAGCACCCAAGCGTAGTCGCCAAGCTAGTTTAGCATTCGCTTGGTTACTGATTTTGGTGCTGGCGAGCACGAGCAATTGCAAGTGTAATTATTGCTAATAACAATTAGAAACAATTTGTATAATAATTACTGACCTTTCGGTGGAGAAGTTAAGCAACAATTGCCAACGCTGTGATTTGAAGTTTTTAATATTTTGTGCTTCATCAAGAATGAGATATTTCCACTTTTTGCGACGAAAACTTTGCTGATCCTGTACGACCAACTTGTAAGAGGTGATGCAAACATGAAACGCATTTGGTTTCGTCCAGCCGACACGCTTGAGCTTTCGTTCCTTTTGCGTCCCGTAGTAGGTGAGTATTTTGAAGCCTGGACACCATTTCTTGAACTCCATTTCCCAGTTAAGCATCACAGATGAGGGCACCACGATCAAATGGGGTCCCCAGTTGCCCTTCGCACAGGCCAAATGCGCCAGCAACGCAATTGTTTGTATTGTCTTTCCCAATCCCATCTCGTCGGCAAGAATTCCGTTAAGCTTGCGCTCATTCATGGTGACTAGCCAGTCAAGACCAATGTGCTGGTACTCGCGCAGCGTGTGCTTTAGAAGGAATGGAACAGGCGTCACCACATTCGTGGAGGACAGCGTGTTACCCTTCGGCTGTAGACTTTCAGCCAGTGCGGCAGCATCGTTCAACATATCATCTTTGTTGTCTTTGCTGCCAACACCAGCAGCACCACTCGCCCCACCCACACTAGAGCCATCAGCATCATCAAGCAGACTCTTAAGGCCATCCTCTTGGTCTCCATCCTCCTGGTCCGAATCGCTCTTGATGGTCGAGAGATCTTCATCTTCGTTATCACTCGCATCTACTTCGCTGCTATCTGTTGAATCTTCAATCGCAGTTGAATCATCATCAGAGTCCTGCTCTGAGGTCTCCACAGCAATCTTGCGTCTTTTGGCGCTGGGTGGCTCATTAATTTTACCGGACTTGTATTTCTCGAGCAGTTGTTCAACAGTCAAATCATTGTCAGCCTCCAGCTCGTCGATCTCTTTCTGATGATCAATTTCCTGCTCTGCTTCCTCTTGTTTACTGATGGTGTTCTCATCATCATCGCTCGCTTCCTTGGCTTGAAATTCGCTATCATCGCTATCGTCACCATCAGCTGCAGCCGCACTAGTGGAAGCGCCTTTAGCTGTACTCTGTTCCTCTAATAACAGCTTATCACGATTCTCTAAATAGCCAGGCGGCAGATCGTTAAGAAAATCATCAAAGTCCATTTCAGATTCTTTAGCCAGCGCTTTGACCTCTTCATTGACATCGGCTGCTTCTTCCTCAGCCTTGGCTATTGTCTCCTCATCATCCTCAGAGCCAGACTCTGGTCTAAATTCATCTGAAAAACAAATTATTCAGTCAGTTCCAATTCACTTTTATATATCTTACATAAGCTAAATAAATTGTGTTCTTAATGCATCAGACAAATGCCTCGCAAATGCGACCATCCCTTAATAACATCGGAGTGTTCAAAAATAGACCACAACAACGTTTCAGTTTAAGTATCTCATCATGTGCAAACTCAAATCATATAAAGGTTTATAAATTTCTTAAATAATTTTGAAATTTACTGATAAACTCCCTATTTAGTTATTCTATTATATATGTTACTATTATTTGTAGCTTTTAATGCAAATTAAAAGGCTTACCATCTGATTCCCGCTTCGGTGATGTTAGGCGACTGGAGGTTAGACTAGGTGTTTCGGCTACATTTTTGTTCATGCCTTCGGCCAGCTGCTGTGAGAACTTCTCCGTTTGATCGACTATAAAACTGAGGTGTTGATCGAGTGCCTGCTTGCGTTTCTCCTCGATTTTTGTTTGGTGCTTATATTCGACCAGTTTCTCTACGTTTGACCAGAAGCTCTTCACCTCACGTGCTATGAAGGAGGCAACGCGCTTTAGATGCAGCTCTTGGGCTTTTTCAGCACGTTGGGCCGCATTGGCCTTGTCTTGGAAATACTTTTGTACCATTTTGGCGCATTTCTTGGCAGCATTCTTCTTCCACTTGCGCTCCTGCGCAAAATCAGCTGCCAACCACACCATCTCCTCCAACAGATAGTCCCAGTGCGCCTTGGGTCGGCTGGGCTCCTGCAGCTTGGGCAAACGCCGCTCAGTCCATAATCCCTCTCGTTGTAATTCGGATATACGCTGCATCACGTACACCTCCTGTTTGGCCTTAAACGAAAACTCCTGCGCACTGTTGGGCGTGCCCGTGCTTGCAAGTGGACTCATCAGGCTTCCGCTGCTGCCACCTGGTGTGCACGGTGTCAGGACCCCACCACTACCACTCCCAACGGTCGCAGAAGCACCATTGCCCCCACCCGTGTACAGTGGCGATGATGTTGCTCCTCCACTTGCCCCACTTGGTGTTCCTGCTGCATTCTGTTGTGAGTTTGGACGACGCAGCGCTGTTGAACCAGACGAGCTACTGCAGGGCACCAACGGTGTGCCACCTTGAGGAGAAAAGCGATAAGAAAAGTTTAGAACTGGTTCAAGACATTGCAGACAGCTCTTAGTCAACTTGCATGCTGAAAAATTGCATCATCAACACACGCTACCATATTAAAGCGATAATAGTTAAGTAATAAAACAAGAAAACGTTAGAATCAATCAATCAATTAATTAATTGAACCATATTTGTTGCGAATTAGTAAGTGTATTTATATAGTATGTATTTATTAAAGTTTGCTAAACAAACCGATGAGAAAAGAAAGAAGGCAAAGAAACTAAGTCAACAACATGCAAAACTTCTAAATTTTAAAATGAGGTCTGATAATCATTAACATTATGCTTAATCTTAAATGAGTGTAAGACGCGAATTCAATGAGATCAGTCTCAAGGACACGATCACATGGATAAATCGAGATTTTAATTTACTTTTGCAAGGTTAACAAATTGTCATCACATGTGGATATAATTCAATGTGACACAGAGTGCGCCTGCATGAAAGGATTATTAATTTAGCCAATAAGAGCAGAGAATACAATTTATAAATTCAATGTGATCGAGACTGCTCTTGCAAAGGATGACATACTTCTGATCATTAATTTAATTACGATGTGCGTGGTGTTATTGGAGTTAACGCATTAATTGGCATCAAATCACTTGCAACCGCGGCAATTGCTCTGGCACACATCAACGATTTTCAGGAGCATTTAAAAAGCTATCAAGAAAACGCTTTTAGGTGCTACTATATCATATATCTACCGCATCTAAAAGTAAATTCTCAAATGTGCTCAGCGTTATGGACTCTTTTAATAAACTACAAAAAGTCACTTGCAACTGTGCTTTGATCTAGCACACACTAACGATTTTCAAGCGCATTGAATTGGCGTACAAGAAAACGCTTTTGGGTGCAAATGAAAAAACTTGAGACTAGTCTAAAATGAATTGATCGGTAAAACATGGGCTGATGTAACATTTTATATGTGAAATATACTTAATAAATGATTCATAAAACTTATACTGAATAGGTCAACTTTATAGAGGCAAAGATCATATCTAAACTATGCATAATTTAGCAAACCAAATAATAATGTATTTTTACATTCAATCAATTAGAATTGGAAATTTATATTTTATAAATAATTATATTATTTTTAAACATTTTATCAGTAAAAAATATAAAGGAGTTACATAAACACCAATTCTAGTGTAATAATAAGGATAAATCTTTGACAGAAAACAATATAGAGGCACATCGAATGCAATGTATATAGTTAATTCAAATGCACTACGCTTTTAATTGTCGGCAACAACGAAATGAAAAGTTATGAAAGTACTTCAATATTCAAAAAAACAAGTAAAAGATTTGAAAATGAAAATGTGATTTGGTTTTTTAGTTTTTAGCGAACGATAAGCACCTGGCACCAAAGGTACAGAAGAATTTCCTACGGCAGGAGGCGCGGGTATTTGACCGAAGACCATACCGTGACGACCTCCTAGAGGTCTACCGGGTATGTGACCTATATAATAACGATACAATTTGATGGTGAGTTGAGAAAGAGAGTTGATGTGTGCGTTAGGATGCGGAAGAGTAACAAATGTGGCAGAAATGACAGAAACATAAAAATATAAACAAAAAACAGAAAGATATTGTAAATCAAATGATGTACAGCAATACAATAAATTAATTGATATTGAAAGAATGTTTATGTAGTTGTTATAATATATATGCATACAAAATATTGTTAAGTTTTTTGAGTATTTTGTGTATTTGCGTGTATGTGTGTCAGATAAATTAAGTTCGTGAATATTAGTATAGCATTTGATAGGTTTCTTTCTAGTTCTCTTTTCTTTTTTTCGTTTGCTTGGGCGAGACAACTTTTATAACTTTGTGCAGGGCGTGCTTTGTACTTTTACAGTTGCTGGAAAGTTATTCAGGACGCGAGTATTCATTTCATTTGTATGCTGGGGAATTAGTGGTAGCATTTTATAGTTTTACTTGCTTCTTATATGTATTCAAATGTTTTTTTATGACATTGTTGAATTTTGGTATGTTTCTATTTTTTGTAATTTTATTTCGAGTTAAACATTAATTTTGAAAATGAACAGAAAAACAGATAAACAACCAAACACAAAATAATAACAATGATAAATACGAAATATCAAGAGAGTTTCAATACTGATTAAACTGATCCTGAACGAGTTTGACTTACCTTGCTGCGTCAACTGTACTACGGCGGCGGGTAGTTTCGTGGAGACGGCGACTGGCGTCGCACCAACTGCTGGTATCTTTATTTCCGCCTCCGGTGGCAATGCATTACCGCTCGTCTCCACTAAGCTGCTGGTTATAGGCAATGCTCCTGTTGTGGCTGTTGTTGTGGTAGTTGTTGATGTCGGTGGCCCACTGCGACTTGGACTTGATGATGCCGTTGGTGTTAGTGCACTTGTATTGCTGCCAGATTTCGTTGGCAACAGAGATTGCGTATTCTAAAGAAACCCAAAATGAGAGGTTTAGAGACATGAGTACGCAGGAATCTTAAGAGGTAGATAATCGTAACATCGTAAGACTACGGTTGATTGATTGATTAAACTTGTGTGATTACCGTTTTTATTTGTATGCTGTTATCTGTCTCTGACTGTATGCCCCCCGTTGTCCCTGTACTGGTTGTTGTTGCTGCAGTTGCGGGGCTGCTGCTGCTGCTGCTGCTACTATTACTAACAACCGAATCCGAAGATTGCTGTGTTTGTTGTTGTTGTGTTGGTTGTTGCGTTGTCCTGTGTCCTTGGGCTACAGCGGCTGCTGCTGCGGCGGCGGATGTGCTTGGCTTTTCCTCGAGTATCAGCTGCTCGATACGATTCGCATTGCTGTAGCTAATGAACTGCGGTGTTGGTGTCTTTTTACGCCACGCGGGGTAGTCCATCATACTGCCACCGTTTTGTAAATAAAAGTATTCCGACACATTTTCAAGATGCCTGCGAAATGAGAGTAATATTTAAGTAATTTTCCAAATAGACGTTAAAGTTGTTATATTCTGCTTTACCTTTCCTTAAGATTACGCAAAATTTGATATTTATGTTGGAGAATGCGCTTCTTGAGCGCATTCAAGTCCTGCAGCGCCGTTGAAATGGGCCCACCAACTTCGCTACTGGACACAACAGACGCTGGCAGCAATGAGCCAACGATGTTGCTGTTGTTATTATCACTGGCGGCCTCGCCTCTCACTTCCGTGTCTTCTAAACGCTGACGCTTTGCCTGGGGTGGCGCTGTTGACTCTAAAACGGAGGTATCTGCTGTTGCTGTATTGGAGGAGTATGTGGAAGCTGCTGCGGGCGTTGCGGCTGCCGTTGCCTCTGTCGACAAGTTCGACAGCGGCACAGGCAGCTGCGCACTGAGCAGCTGCTGCTGTTGTGGTTTGCTTGGTTTTTGCTGCGTTGTTGCTGCTGTTGATGTGGCTGATGATGATGATGATTTATTGTTATTGTGTGCAGTTGCTGTTGATTTTGGCGTTGTAACTGATTTTTCCGTTGATTGTAACGTTACACGGTCTGACACAGCAGGAGGGGCCGGGCTTAGCCCTTCATGCCCCCCTCCTGCTGAATTACCTTCATTCATGTTTGAGACATCTGAAAAAAGGCGGGAAATAAACATTATAGTCACCACACAAATTATCGCGTGTTGCGTTTGACATCGCACATTTTGCAGCCCTGGTTGGCATATATGTATGAACATACGTATGTCAGCGGTAATCGGGCCCATTAAGGTACAGCTATTTAGTATCATTACACTATTTCTGCTGCGTAATCATTATATTTAAGACTTTTTCATTGATAATATTTCGTACGGCTTATCATATAGGCAACTTGCATCCCTGCAAAATGCAATCGATTTGCAACTGTGCATTGCAAATGGCTGCGCTTCCTTTATTTTATTATACACACACACGCGTTGTATAGAAATATTTTTTTTGCACTTGGCCATAGTTCATACAATTATTTTTTATAAAGCAGCACGTTAACTTTAAGCTGGCTAAAAGTTGCTAGATGCGGCACTTTTCAAGCATGCTAATCGAATGACCGATGTTAGAATGAGACGACTATATTTATAAGTCCGCTGCCGCTACGTCGGCGTCGGTTCTTTGTTGGACAGAAATTTTTTCCACCCATTTTTTTTTCCTACCTCAGATGGGGAAAATTTTTAATCACAAAATATCCACATCACAAATATGCATCCGTACGTAAAAACAGTGTTGACGCGTTGCAAAAATTGTGCTGTAATCGCGAATACAATGATTCTTCAATATTTTCGCCTATTTCTGCACTTTAAATATTTTTTTTGCAGAAAAGTGTGCGCAAACACACCATTCAGCGTCGAGGTACATAGAAGAACTAGTGATGTACCGAAAACATCGCAATATAAAGCATTTTCGATAACGATAAATATACCATCGTACAAATTGAAGTAGCATTGAGCTCAGTACGCTGCTACCGATACGTGTGCCTGCTGCTAAATTTAACTCTAATCATTTCCGATAGCTTGGCTTCAGTATGAATAATTTTACCGCCAAAATGGAACGCTAGTCGACAAATAAATGAGCGTGTCGGTATTGTTATGCTACGACACTATTATCGATTTACTTATGAGTGGCGGTTCATTTAAATTTCCTTTCGAGAAAATAATTTACGCTGTCTGGAATATTATCCTTCTTATTAATAAAGTAATTATAAAATATTATTTAAATTTTAACTTTTGAATAAGAACATATAAACATGTTTTGGAGATTAATTTGTTTTGTAGCAAAATAAATAGGATATCTTTAAATAAATGATTAACTCATAAGTTAAGCAAGACAAGCAAAATTGAATTTCACCTTGACCCATCAAGCGTATATACAGATTGCTATGCGATAAGAAAATGGCGAGTGAATGGCAATCATGTGTGTACATATACCAGCGGATTTTGCTGTTTATTTTGAGTATTCACTTTTATTTTTGTATTCGCCTTTTGGATTTTGTTGTCTATATACTAATCTGGTTTAACGGGAAACAAGCGTCTAAATTGAGTTCAGTTTCTCAACAGATGCTGAAGGCAATGAACACGAACCGTAAATTTTTGGCAATATTTCTACTCTCAGCCTTGTCGGCTCGAACGGTGCCCGGCGAGTTCTGTGACAATGGCACTGGCGAGTGCAAGGAGCTAACAGCCACCGACTGTCCCGTGCTCTTCTATAATGAATACATTATCGGTGCCAATAAGATTAAATACTGCGATGAGTTTAACGACATTGTCTGCTGTCCGCTGCCGCTAAATGCACAAAAACGAGTGATAACGCAGGCCAAACCAATAAAGCTATACGAAAAGGGTAAGAAAATTGATTAGCTTCAAATAATTTTGATGTTAATTAATAGTTGCTTTTGGATATTCGAAGAGTGCCGTCGCTACAATGACGTTCGACCCACCTGCCGCTTTACGCCACTCATTGTGGGTGGCACCGAGGTGAAGGGTCGCGAATTTCCCTTCATGGCACTGCTGGGCACACGAAACCCGGGCAGCTCCGCCATTAGCTGGGAATGTGGTGGCACTCTAATCCATCCCAAGTATGTGCTGACGGCTGCCCATTGCCTGGAGACTGCCGAGACAAAGGAGCAGCGCTTAGATCCCAATTTCAAGTCCCCGAAATTTGTTGTTCGCTTAGGTGAATTGGACTACAACAGCACCACAGACGATGCCCAGCCACAAGACTTCCAGCTAGTCAACTATGTGGTGCATCCAGACTATGCAGACGAGGACGACGGCAGCCGCTACAATGACATTGCGCTGCTTGAGCTGGACCGAAATGCCACGCTGAATGAGTATGTGGCGCCCGCCTGCCTGCCGTCCAACAGCGGAGATGAGCAGCTCGAACTGACTGCCGCCGGCTGGGGCTATACCAAAAATGCGGGCGACAAATCCTCGCAGCTGCTGCGGGTGGGCCTGAAACGCTATAGCGATCAAGTGTGCAGCGAGCGACTCGAAAGTCGCATTGTATCCCGCACGCAGTTCTGCGCTGGCTCCGGTTCGATCGACAGCCATGCAGACACCTGCAACGGCGACTCTGGCGGACCCATCTTCGTGCAGCATCCGGTCTACAATTGCCTGAAGCAGGTAATTGGCGTCACCTCCTACGGCGTCATCTGTGGCAATCACAAATTTCCCAGCGTCTATACCAAAGTGCATCTCTATACGGACTGGATCGAAAATATTATCTGGGGAGAGTGATTCATATTCAATTCATTCTCGGCTGAGCCCCGAACGAATACTTTTTCTATTGAGAAGCATTCGACAGATTAACTTCATTTAAAATTATCATTTTGATATATTCATCATTTAGATTAAAATTAAGTAATGCATTTAATATTATAAAATTTTTAAAAATACCCCATTTAAAAGTTATTGTGTCTTATAAAATTATATCAGCACGGAGTCAAGAGATAGAACGAACCTCTTAGCTATGATTAAATCTTGAAATTCTTAATTTAAATCAAATTTCAAGCCGACGCCTGTTAAATGAAACAATGCACAAATTTCTCAGCCTGAGCCTATACTCTTTGCATATAGCTTACATAAAATCTATACCTGATTTTGTTATATAGAAAGCTTTTTGATCGAATACACATAAATATTCAAATGTATTTATACCTTGAAAGCTCGCAGTCAACTTTGTTATTGCTGTTTTTTCGCCAGCAATAAAAATTTTAATTTATTTTTTTCGGAATTAACGATAATCAAATAATAATAAAAATTCTCTTTATAATATATTATATTTGGGAGCTATAAAAAGTCCGAAATATAGAATTTCTGTACAATCATTTCAGAACCTCGCACAGAACATGCCACTACTATTTTTATGAACAACTAAATGTTGTTAATTTTTCGCAAGTTAATTAAAAATATGCTAATCTCAATATTCATTTCGAATTGTTTTCAAAATATTGTGTTTATTACTAACATTTTATTTTCCAACATTTAGTGCTCAGTGGCACTACTATTTTTATGAACAACGCTGAACTCGAGATGCGAATGGTATTTAGGAATATGCATTCAAGGAATAAGCATAAAGTCCATACTGTGCTTACCTAGATTGCTGCTTAAAGACAAGCGGACAGCGGTATATGCTGTCTGCCACGCCTCCTGCTACCTTTTAGCACTTCCACGCTGAATTAGAGTATAAATAGTAGTTTCAGTAGTTGTAGCTATATAGTAGTCATAGAAATAGTAGTAGCTTTATAAATTAGTAGTAGAAATAGTAGTTGCAGTAGTAGTAGAAATAGTAAAAGCTATGTAATACTCATGTGAATAGCAGTAGCTTTGTAGCAGTAGAATTTTAGTTCCAGTAGTAGTAGTAGTTGCTATGTCCACGTTCAATAACTCTCTGTGAGTTCTAGTCAAGATTTATTGAATATAAAATATAAAATTGGCTATCAAATATGTTTTCTGCTTCCTCTATTTACTATACAAGTAGTACTCTTTTTACTACTAAAGTAAAATAGTAAAAGATAGTAAAAGTCGGAATATCGTATTTAACTTTTGTTAGCTTTAATAGTAACAAATTGTGTAAAAATCAGTTAACAAATATAACATAGATGGATTTTAATTTAGGGTATACGATCACTTAACATATTGATTGGGAGGGGATGTGCGAATGCGTGTTTGTGTGTGTGTGTGTGGGTGTGGGTGTGGGTGTGTGCGATTATATAATTATAATGTAGATTAAGGATTAGAGATATATAGATATAGATTTAGGTAGTCGATTCGTGTTGAGTGCAGTGCGTTGTGCTAGACTCGACTTGACTTAGAGCTAAAACACAATTATTAAAAGCTAAGTGCTAGAGAGGACCCTGTAGAAGACCAGTGACAGCCATAGCCATTGCTGCATGTTGCATGTGGATTGCGCATGGTTGTTGATTAGATTAGATTAGATTAGATTAGATTAGAATAGATTTTCAGAGTGCTCGATGCTGGACTAGTAGCGCTTGTAGTACTCCAGGTAGTTGCGACGTTGCGCCTCATCGCTGCGTCTCCTGGCTGCGATCTCCTTCTTCTTGATCTCGCGCTGCTGATAGACGAACAGCGGGCGAAAGACGATGGCGCGACGCTTGCGATCCCGACGACGGCTCTTGGGCTGATCGGCAGCTGCCACGGCCACCGGCTGTGGCTCTGCCACTGACTCGGAGGGCACCGAGCGCTGTGGCCGGTTCTTAAACAGATTCGTCTTGGCCGAATCGTGTGCGTAGAGCGTGCTGAGGAAATCAAAGTACGGCTTGGAGCGCAGACTGTCTGGCTGGGCCAGCGGCGAGTTGTAGCTGAACTGATTGGGCGTCTCGATGTCTAGCAGCGTGTGGGGCCCATCCTGCAGCTGTTGCGGATCTTGGGGCATCGCTGTCGCCAGGCAAACAACGCCCAGGGCCACGGCCAGGGTGTAAAACTGCGGAAACAAAACAAAACAATACGAAAATCAGTAAAACAAAGCAAATGAGCCAAATGGAAGGTGTGAATAGCGCTTGGAGGCCAGTCACCAGAGGCTAGCCACTAGCCACTAGCCACTAGCCACTAGCCTCTAGCCCCTTAGCTGTTAGCCAGTTAGCCAGTTAGAGAGTTACGTTCTGCAAACTGTTAGAACCAGTCAAGCATATGCTTTGAATTAGCATACAATAATTAATTTAATTTAAACTAACAAATATTGGTGATATAATCGCAATCAAAGTTAATTTATGTTTGCACGTAATATATTCATGATCACGAGAGAGAGTAAGACCCGAACAACTCTATCATTACCCCGCTGGATGCTAATTACAGATGGTAATACAGATGCCACCAGGCCGGCCCAACCCTTAAAGCCACATTTGAATATGCTGCGCCCTTGGCTCAGCCCAAGCCGGATGCATGTTTCGAGCATACAGTACAGTATATATATACCGTATATATATGTATATAGAGAGACTTTAATTTATGTATCACATTTCGATTTGTGTGTGTTAATAAAATTAGTCTTATTCTTAGAGGACAAATTAAAGACTAAACAAAATCAAAACCGGATGATATCTATCTTAAATTCAAACCAGCTTTCGGTGTAGGTGAATGCGCTGGCAGACGTTCAATGACAGCTCAGCTGGAGGCTAATCCAGCCAGCATATATATCGCCTATATATATATATACATATATATCTGTACAGTTATCTCCCACTTGCTAAATTCAGCTGCTGAAACACAATTAGCTCCTTTCTACGCATGTTTTTCTGTGGTTTTCTGCCACGCTGGGCGCAACAAAAAATTATATAAATATATAACATATGTTTATGCATACAGACAGATATATTATTTTATGATTCACGCTCTGAGTTCTGCATAAATTGCTTCATTGATAATAGCAAAGTTCGAGCCGCGGACATAGACAAATGTTCAGTTTTTTCGGCTAATTATGTAAATTTTACAGGCTGAACCACTTTAATTAATTGACTTTTCATGATATATGATAGCGGTTAAAGCGAAATAAAATTAAAAAATAACTCTTGAAAATACCGAGAAATAAATAACGTATCTGTATCTTTGTATCTGTATCTGTAGCTGTATCTTGGTCTCTGTAACCGGTTGCGCTTTTGTGGCTCAGGGCTAACCTATAAGATGTATAACACTTGATTTGTTTTTTCATCTTTCTATAGCTTGTGAATACCCTGTGTCCACCAGCTGCGCCAAGAATGGGTATAATAAGGAAGCGATTCGCCAGCGGCAGTCACAGCTCAATTTATAGAGTAACTATGCTAATATATGTATGGCTGGTGAGCTCTGATTAGGTGATAGGGAGAGAGGAAAAGAGGGACATTGAGAGAGGAACAGAGAAAGAGAGAGTGGGAGAAAATGAAAGAGAGATACAGATCTTTAGAGTGAAGTCAGGCGGCGAGAGATAGATAGATATGGAGTGGAACAAAGATATTAAGAAAGAGTGGGAGAATGAGTGGGAGAAAGAGTGAGATAAAGAGATAGATAGACAGAGAGAGACAGATAGAGACAGAGAGACTGAGATATTCAGAGGGAAGAACGATATGCAGAGAAAGATAGAGAGAGTGGAACAGAGATATCAAGAGATAGAGTAATATAGAGATATTCAAAGAGGGAAAGAGAGAGAGAGAGAGAGAGAGATAGATAGAGAAAACAACAGAGAAAGGTAGAGAGAGAGACAGATATTGATTGAGAGTAAGGACAGATACATATAGTTATACACAAATAACAAAGATTCAAAGAAGAGGAAGGGAAAAGTACATAGAGAGATGTATTAAGAGAGAAAGCAACAGATAGAGAAAAAAGAAACTGCTTTTCAAAAGAATTGAACTAACTTATGCAGATCTCTATAAGAATTTGTATGACGATTGACAGGCATAAAGTCTTTAGCAAAATAAGAAAATAACAGTTACAAACTAAAAAATCAGCGTGTTTTAATTAGTCTTTTATATTATAAATAATGTTTCATATATGAATATGAAATCGAAGCTGCGGCTTTAAAGCCGGCTTAAGTAAATTTGCTTGTGATATAAGCGAGGTTGAAATACTAAAATGACTTAAGATATCAATATATAAATATGTATATATATATATACATATGTAGACTGAATAAGTAAAGGGTATAGTCTTATATACAGTAAAATGTGAGCATCAATAAAAAGCCCTTAAAATGCAGAGGCCGCTTCAATGGCAATTGTTGCTCTGCAGAGCGAGTCTAATGCCTAATACCTAGACTCATTGACTCATATGAGAGTAAGCAGAAGTCTAGTTAATTAAGAGTTTGTTATTGAAACTGCTTCAAGCTGACTGCTCTTAGCAAGGCGAATCGCTGCTTCAACAAATTTTATGAGCTATGCTTGGACTTCCTTATGAAGCGCATAGAATAGTCTCAGAGTAACTCGATTGAGTTACAAATCTGAGCCGCGACAAAGGTAAAAACTAGCTCAGAATGAGAATAACTTAAGTTAGTTAAAACTGTTGTTCGACCTTGCTCAGAAGACACGAAAAAAATATTTCAAAAAAATTCAAAAATAAAAACAGAAAAAATGCAAAACAAATTTGGGTTAAGCTCAAAGTTAAAAATATATATATAGCCGCACAGATATTTGTATATACTTATATTCGACAATTAATTTTGTAAATTTGAAATGCATTTTTGATGCGAAAATTCGAAAATTTCGAAATGCTAACCAAACACGTTTGCCGTTACTCAAATCGCGAATATAATAAAATAAATAAGCGTCAGTTCGCTTCGCTTCAATACTCACTTGTTGCTTTAACGAGCACATGTTTTGTTGTGTTTCAACTATATTTAAATATATATGTATATCTTATTTTTATTGCCAGTTGCTTATCCTGAACACACTCGAAAATGCTGTTTCTCTTCTGTTCCAATTGCGCACTCGCGTTATTTATTTTCTGTTAAATTTCGCTCGTTTCACAATCTGCTGATGATAATTTATTGACTCAGTGCCTCTGTCTGCTCGGCTTATCACAACTGCTAAGCGCGACGTTCGATTATGATTTGGCTGATGTTGTCGCCGCTAAGCGTGCGCACTAACTGTTCAGAATATTTGTCACAAATTCACTTTTATATATGGCCAACAGCCTCCGCGTGCCGCCCTCGCTCAGCCAGCCAGCCAGCCAGCCAGCCACGTTAAGATACAGCCGAACGGGTTTCGTTTGGCTGCCGCTGCTGCTGTCGCACTGGTTGCTGGTGTTAAGTGTTGTCGATGTCACGAATTAGCCAAGGCGCTGCTGGCCGAGCTGGAGACAGGGACTCGCAAGTGCATGTCCAGTGCGCCACTTGAAGGCGTTGCTCTTCATAGCTCTCGCCGCGCAGCTCGATTCGATTTTGCGCTTTTGGCTGGGTCACGACACGAATTTGTTGCCTCGGAGGCGGAGGCGGAGGAGGAGGAGGCTGCGCGCACTTTCATAGTTATTATCGTGGCGCGTCTCGCTGCTATTAAACTCTTGTGCGCACCTGAAGAGGAAGCTGCAAACAAAAACAGATTTATTATTATTGCCATACGCTCGCAAAGAGGGACATTCAGCTAAGGCAAACAGTGTGCGAGGGTGGGCGAGATTTGTTTAGATAAATTACTGAAATTACTGATAAGCATCAGTAAGAGAAGTCGAAAGATAGCATATATATAGCTAACTATATCTTTGATAGACTCTTGCATAGCTAGTTATAGGAGTTAGCTCGAGTCAAGTTTCATATATCATATATAAATAGTCATATATAGTCTGAACAGAATGACTATATCTCTGTTTAGTAGAGAAAGGTACAGAGAGAGAGATAGAGAGAGGGAAAGATAGGGATAGAGATTGAGTGAGCTGATAGCAGGAGATCAGCGCTCTATGCTCTGTCTAAGCTAATAGAACTTGAGCAGAGCTGCAGAGCTGAAGGATCTCTTCAACTCAACAAGCTCGTTTCAGTATTGCAATTCTATATAGTTAGTTGTCTCTCTTATCTGCTTCCATCTGCAACAGATACTCAGTCTTTGCTGCATCAAATTTCAGCTTCTCTGCTCAATCCCTGTCAGTCTGCCGCATCGCACTGCTTCCCCTAGCGTATGTAGACGTCGCCTTTAGGTAGAAATTCCTGTTTATAGTCGATTATTGTTTGTGTCGCGCTGAAATGTTTGCTTTTCGCATTACGTTTAATTAAATCTTTCCATGACGCAGACACTAATCAAGGCAAATCAAAGCGAATCAAAGCGAATTGATGATGTCTCTCTGCGTCGCATTGCACAAGCAAAGCTGTGCAGGATTAGGGCGTGCCGTGCCGTGGCGTGGCGTGGGCGTGGCGCCTCAAAACAATACGGAAGCACAGGCAGCAGAGCTCTGAGCTGTCGCAGCTTATCGGCTAGTAAAACGGAAACCCAATTTAAAAACTTGTCTCGCTCATTAGGCAAATGATCTGAGCCAAGCTGATCCGCTTGATGACGCACAGTCGGAAAACTGTCAACACGAGCTGGCGCTGCTGCTGCTGCTGCTGCTCTTGAACATGTTATCTCAGGCGCGACGAAGGTTAAGCAACTCAAAGATACGACAATTTGGGACAGTTGACAGTGGCCAGCGATGCAGAAGCAAGCAAACTCCAATTGGAATGCAGCTTCAGAGGGCGCTCTCCGGCTGGCTTAAGCCATCCGTCCGTGGAGTACACGTGATTTATTATTCCGCTTCAAATCAAAACAAACGAACTGCACAAACTTGTCAACGCCGCTGCTCAAATGCCAGCAGCCAAATGGTATTTTGTGCATTTTTATTTTGTTAAATAAATTTAATTTAATTTAATTGATTTTTAATTAATTTCGACCGAGAGCCGGTTTCACGAAATCGTCACAAGACAAATCCAAAACAAATGTCAAAGAGTAGGCGACACTACCAGAGCATGCTCTGTCCATGAATACCCTGTAAATGCTGCGGCGTCTGCTGCTGCTGGTCAGCCTGCTTAGGAAATGATTAAGATTCCTGCGAACTTCTTCAGAAAATTAGCACAATTAGATGAGCAATTGCATTTTTGATGACATTTCGCTTGAATCATCTTTATTTCCAGCAACTAATTGAGCGAAATATGGGCTGGACCTGGGGCCCGAAGCCGAGCTGCTTCCGTAAAAAAATACCAAAAGAAAAGAAACAACATCCGAGGTGCTAAACAGAGTTCAATGTGAGTGTGAGTGGAAGTGGGACTGTGGTTGGGGCAGTAACTGGCACCGCCCGATGGGGCTGAATATTTTCACTGGATGCGTTGGGTGACGTGATTCATGCGATTTCATAAGTGATTCATTACAGCTATCGGATTTGAACCCATCTGTCAGATTGGTTAAAGTTGAGCTAGGGCAAGGCAAGAGCCAATCGTTGTTTGTTCTCTCAGCTCAGCCAATCACAAATAGATGGCAGTAGTACTGGCTGAGGTATGTTAGATTTATTGACTGTTTCACTTGACATGTCGAGCTCTGTTTATTTTCTGCAGTGTACGTCACTCCAGATCGTTCAATTATCACTTGGCAGCACGTCACAGTGGCTTAATGATGGAAATTTAATATTGCTGTGCTGATTTTGGCTTAATTAAAAACATGTTGCCATTCCATCTGGTCTGCCTGCCTGCTCGCTAATAAAACCACGTATCACTCGTTGCCTAAATTCAATTAAGGACTTTATTAGCATCACGTTGTGGAATCATTTTTATGGTTTGAATTACGCGCACTTCCATCAATTAAGTGGCAACGCTGTACAGAGTTGAGGTTGGAGCAAAACAGTTTGCATCAGCTGGAAGTTGGTTACGGGCAGCGTCGAGCATGTTTGATGTTAGATGCGAACAGGTTTCACCGCAGTTGCACAGCTACATTCAAACTGGTTTGAAGTTGGCTGCGCACAGCTCAAATTTGCTTTACCCGCACACTTTCAAAAGTAGGGAAATTTCCATGATAAAGTTTAAAAAATATTTGAATATTTATTAAATACTTGCAAGTATACGTAGTATATTTTTTATTCGTTTGTTTATTTTTTATATTGCCAATTTTTATAAATATATAAAATTTTTTGAAATGTACAACTTTCTTCAAATGCGTAACATTTTCCAATAAGTATAAGAGTAATTTGTTAATTATTTTATACATTTTATAAATGCACAAAATTATTCCAAATAATTGAAACACGCATATATACACAATATACATCAAATAATCCCAAACATATATTTGTATTTGCTGTATTTAATTTTATTTAATAATTTGAACACCCAAAAATGTAACAATAAACAAAGTACCAATGTTTTGGTACAAATGTACCAAGCCGTTCATGCACTTCCCATTGGTCACTGTTATGTTAAAATTGCTAAGAGAGCGATAACAGTGAAGATCTCTTTTATGCCCGACGAATATCGTAAGTCCCTGTTAGTATTATTTGAGTGCTGTTTTTCGTTTGCGTGCTTATTCACTTTGTTACAAAAATTGTTAGTGTCAAAATCTTTATTTTTATTTAAAAAATATACAGTGTTTAATACAGGTGTATGAGCCGGTATGTCTCAATAGTGGATTAATCGTGATCGCTTGCTTTTAACATGGGGTTTTTCTGCCATTTCTCGTTATTGCGTCCAAAGTGGTAGCATTTTTTCGTAGAAAAATAAATTTACCGATCGCGGCGTCTGTGCTTACGGTGTGCGTGAGTGTACATACATACATACATATGTACATGCATATGCATGAATACATATGGATGTAGAATTACAGCGCATATTCTGTGAGTTTCGCTGCTGCTGCTGCTATTATTATTCGGTCTTGACAAACACAAAACACATTTTAATATTTAACTAATATTAATAATTCGCACACACGTAATCGCAATGCCAGCTCGTCTGGGTATATTGCCTATTTTATTTCGATTCGCAATTCGCAATTGGCAATTTCATAAAGGAGCAAAGCACGCACACTCATGCACACAGAGAAACACACTCACTTATAGACTTGCTTTGAATATGCTTTTCACTGCCGCAATCATTTCATAATTTCCCCTCTAAACACTCGCTTGCTGCTGCTCTGCAACACGTTTTATGGCAAAGGGTATGTGCGCGTCGTTCATATCGTGATGAAAAGAACCGAAATTTTTAGCTGCTATAATATTTTTTTTGACTTTTATTTTGTTGCTCTTTGTGTGGATGCTCTCTTGTTACTGTTGTCGTCGCTGCTGCTGCTGGTGCTGCTACTTCTGCTGTTGTTATTGTTATTATTATTATTTGTGTGTGTGTGTGTGTGTTGTTACTGTTGCTTTCGGTTGCGATTAGAATTAATTGACAAATGGCAAAAAAAAAACACAAAAGAGAGCAACAAATGTTGCTTTTGTGCTTTGCTCATGCAGCAAAAGCAATAAAAGCAAAATCAAAAGCACGCCAAAAAGGAACGGCAATATCAGTTGGCATTGGTAACTGGCAAGCGGTGAATAAGCGAATATATTATAAATAAATGTTCAAACAGAACCAAATAGCAATCATCTTAGCCTCCGCAGAGTTCGTCGACCTACCAACGACAACAACAACAACAGCAACAGCAGCAGCAAGTTATAAAAATAAAAACTATAAAAACAAAAGAGAATAGTGTCAAGCCAGAAGTAAGTAGGCATAGGCATGGCTACATAGAGACCGCACAAGCGAAATTCACACCTGTTACACGCGCACAGGGCTCAGTTATGTTATGTTATGTTATGTTAACATTTTAACCCTGCATTGGCCCTGTACCTTGCAGTTGGGCACTGTTAACAGTTGCTGTAAACTGATCTTGACTGTTGACCCTGTACACAAATTAACCCTTGGGTGGCTCCCCTGAAAATAATCATCTATTATTTCTTTTATACATCTTGCAGTTTAATAACAGAATAAGAAGAAGATATATCTATAATGGCCTCTGTATCACAAAGCAAAAGACAAAAAATGTCTGAACCACAAGGTGTGGAGGATATTGTACCAATAAACTATAAGGAACTGGATATTATTGGCACAGGTATGTTCATGCTGTTATTAAATAATTTTCTAAAATTTTCAATTACACGAGTCAGTGTTAAATACTGTTGATTAATTAATCGTATGTCAGGTAACAGATCTTTCGTGCAAGCCTAACAAACAGTTGTTATTCATTTTGGCAGCCATAGCAAATGCATTTATAAGGGGAAATACTGGGTTCTCAGTCAAATTTCAACTGCAGAAACCCCTTCCAAGACAGGAAAAATATGGGATTACAAATATTGTTGCATACTTTCAGGTCGACAAAACCACGTGCATCTGAATTGGAAAAGAAACTAAAAAGTAAATATTGAAATTGGTTTGTCAGGTACAACGGCCAGATAAGAACTAAGCAAACAATCCAAATTTTATCGCACTGTGCATCTTCTTTCTTTTAAGAATTCCAAAATAAATCAATTACGTCACAGAGCTGAGATTGAGTACAGGACTGCTAAAAGATGTTCGCTTAGAGCATGAAAATGATATATATGTGCATACATATATGATAATCAATAAATATGTGTATATATGTGTTAGGGGTACGAACGTGTGTAGAACGACTGGTCGATAGGCATGGCAACAATGGGTTAACTTTCACCTTAACTGTCTGTTGCGAAAGCAGATTGAGTTACATTTTAAGAGATTTCTGGAAGATAGTTAAGTAAGTGCTTCTCCTCCCCCCCTCCCCCTGCCACTCCTCTTGCTACAGACAAAAAACAAGTTAAACCCATTTTTGAAAGACATTGAAAACAAAATGTGTCTGCTTTTGTTGCTTTATTTTGTCATGCTGCCTTTTCGCATTCATTCAATTATTGCCTCTTGCTTTTACGCGTTTTGGTTTTTCGGCTTTTGCTGCGTGTTGTTGTTGGTTTTGATTTTGTGCACAGATGTGACAATTGAAAGAGAGGGCAGAAGACTAAAACGAGTCGTCAAAAAATAGTCGACTGAGTGTTTTTTGTTGTTGTTCCGTTTCCCAGAGTTCCCGTGTTTTGTTTTTTGTTATTATAATTTTTATTGTACTGCATTGTTGTGTGCTGAATGTGAACCTGGCCTTGTACTTGACTTTTGCAGCGAGCAGTAGTAGCAACACCAGCTATAGAAATATGTGTGCGAGTCATCAAATCAAAATCGGTGACATGCGGAACATATCGAATGCGAATGTCAACCAAAATAGAAAAACTCCCACGCCGCATGCCAACTGACTAAATGCCGTGTTCTTTGCTCTCTTTTGCTCTGTCTGCTTGCCTGGATGGCTTGGCCCATTCGGTCATAAATTTCTGGTGACAGAATTTAGTCTTTCTGAATTTGATTCGATTCTTGTCAGACATTTCTTCATCGCGCGAGCTCTCCCTCTTTCTATGTCTACGATACTCTGTCTCTCTCACTGCTACTCTCCCACGCTCTCATTCGTTTTCGGCAACAAAGATATCACCAAAAATCAGCCGGTTTGCTTATCAACACAGCTGACGGCATGTTTTCAGTGTATTTTGTTTTTGTTTTTTCCTTTTCTTTTCTTTCGTTTGCTTTCTGTTTTAGGTTCTAGGTCTGGGTTCTGGCAGGCATTTGCAATGTACATATTTGTGTGCGAAATTTCTAGTTCATAGCATTGGCAAAAAAATCCAAAGCTATATACATATGAATGTATATATATACATACAACTAAATTCACTTGCTCTTATCTGCTGCTTGCTCTGTCCATTTGGTTCCTTTGCGTTTTGCAATTTACTTTTATTGTCTTTTTTCTTTGACAGAGCTATAACTGTAATCTATTTATGCATGTTTGCGTGTTTGTGTGTGACCTATTTACTGTTAACACAACTGAGTTTCGCCAACATTTGCATTAACATTAACATTTACATTGTCTTTACAGGCGCCTATGGTACCGTTTATCGGGCACGCGACAATCTAACAGGCCAATTCGTGGCTATTAAGAAGGTGCGCATTGCACTCACTGAAAACGGAGTGAGTGCATCGACGCTGCGAGAGATTTCCCTGCTGAAGCAGCTAAACACATACGATCATGCGAACATTGTTAAGTGAGTAACTGCATACACATACTGCTACATTTGTGTTATCTGGGTGGCGCCCCACTATTTGTTCACTAACTTAAAAAAGTCGTCACGTTACGTGCTGCGAACAGATTACAGACAATGGCAATGGCAATGGCTTGTGTGTGTGTGGGTGTTTATTTTCGCACACTCAAATGGAACTCTACGGTTATTAGCAACTCTCTTGTGTTTATCTTTCTGCTTTACTGCTTGCTTTTCGTCAACTGACCTACAACAGTCGCTAAAACAAGCGTAAATGCAACGGACACAGCGACAGAGTTGCATTCCACCCCCAATACAAATGTATGCGCACTCTCACTCACACACATGCACACGCCCATTGGCACAGTGGCATGTGCATGTTATTAAAGCAAACGTCAAACTAAGTGGCGCCTGCTTGCCCTGCTGCTGCTGATAACGGCGTCGCAAATGTTATTTGCAACAACATTAGCAACGACAGCAGCAACGACAGCAGCAACAAACAACTAATCTATTGCCATGGAATTTAGCCATTCAAAGAAGCTCTAAATTGCCAGCTTTGTTTACAAGTAAAATTAACTTATACTAAAATGTTGCGTTTGCGAAAAATACTTTGCAACGAACCTAATTTTATATGCATCACTAGCGGCGGCGTTGGGTACTACTCATTCTCAAACTCGCTCAGTACTAAAAATGTCGGTCGACTCACTCAACCAGATGAATATCTGGTTATTCCGCTCGACTCTCAGCTACGGTATTACGATCAAGAGTAAATGAGTACAGATAAATGCTACGATTTATTTAACAGTGACATAAATGACTCTTATCGTCAAAGAGCGCACAGCAGAAACTTAACTCTGCTGCTCTTCAATTCGATTAAGCGTTTTGTTCATTTCTTTTGTGCTGAGCGTAAAATGCTTACTGAATTGTTTAAAAGTAAATAAATCTATGTGTATACATTTCTTTTGACTGCACAACAATTTTTAGTGATAAATATGATAAATCTATAATATAGTGCCTAAAAAAAATTTTTTTTCTATATTTCTAAATTTATAAATAAATATATAGGAATTTGGCATTTAAATTAACAGTCATTCAAAACTGTTAGCTAACAGAATGTTAGAAAAAGACTCTCCATATTGAACTTGGGGCACTGCTGTTATTCACTCTTCGTTCCCCAGCGTGCGTGCTCTTGATCGAAAGCTGTAGAGTTTTAGTAAATTGTATGAGTGGAGTGTTTTTGTAGTACGCCAAATGTCCGCAGCATGGCGCACCATATATAGACTCGGTTTCTCCATAGCGCACACACTTACACAACCGACAAATTCTCCAAATGCACATATACACATTTAACACTTATAATTTCCCCACCATACACTACAACAGCACACATTGATATGCTATAATTTCCCCAATCAACAGACTGTTCGAAGTATGCCAGTTCTTGGAACGAGATGGCAAATTGCTGATTCTGCTTATATTTGAGCACTTAGAACAGGATCTATCTGACTTGATAGAAGCTTTACCACAATCCGGCATGTCGCCCCTAAATGTGCAGGTAGACAGTATTAGATAAATTGCAATATGTTTTAAAATTAATTAAAATTGATATGCATTGCAGCGCTTGGCTCGCGAGCTGTTAACTGGCGTGGACTTTCTGCATGCCAATCGCATTATTCATCGGGACTTGAAGCCTCAAAATCTGCTCGTCTCATCACAGGGTCATTTGAAAATCGCAGACTTTGGTTTGGCCAAGACGTACGGCGTGGACATGAAACTCACCTCAGTGGTGGTCACCCTGTGGTACAGGGCGCCCGAGGTGCTGCTTGCCCAGGGCTATAATAGCGCCGTCGACATCTGGAGCGCTGCCTGCATCATCTTCGAGATGTTCAACCGCAAGCCCCTCTTCCCGGGCAACTCTGAGAAGAATCAACTCGATCGCATCTTCGAGTGGGTTTGCCCATAGCTGAGCGCTTGTGTGTGTATTTATTCAGCTGTTCTTATTGCAGACTTACTGGGCGTCCGACGGAGCAGCAGTGGCCAAAGAGCATTTGCATTACGAGGGAACATTTTCCACCCCGCGCTCGCAAGCGACCCTCCGACTTCTGTCCAGACTTATGCGAGTTCGCTGATGATTTGCTGAATGTAAGCACTCGCTTCACTCCATGTATTTATTCATTAACTAATCTCTTTCATATCTGCCTTAGCAAATGCTTTCGTATGATCTGCATCAGCGTCTCACTGCGTTGGAGTGCTTGAATCACGATTACTTCCAGCAGGAGCCACTGTAAGGGCTGTTTTATAGTCCACAAATCCAAGCGATATGCTGCAATGTTCCTTTTCTTTATATATAACTTTCCCAGATATATATATATCTATTTTTTTTTATTTGTATCAATCCTTATATATACATATATTGTTAATTGTAAAGGTTTTTGATTTTTGTTAATCAACTGCAGTAAAACGGAGCTCGAGGATTGCGAGATCCTTTCTAAAATGTGATACATCAAGTTCAGGACTAGAGACGTGCTCAGGCATATATCCTATATATATATGATCAATATATATACCACGTATACATAAATAAATATATTCAAAATTGCGCTGTTCGTAATACCTGTACAACACCACTATATATACATGCATAAATATATAATTATAAATATACTATATTTACAATATTTTTATACATACACAAAGCGTTATTGGTAAATTTTAAATATTTGCTGTAAGCGATTGAAAATAATGCATTTAATAAAGAATTGAAATTCACATTCAAATAAGGCGCGCACTTATCCAGTCTTATACGTGTGGTACTTTTAATGTTAACAGAGCTGGCATTTACTCTTAATATAAGAGCTGAAATGTTAGTTCCAGTGCTGTAAAGCGCTGCAAGTCAGCACTGTTATTTACGATATGTTATTTAACATTGCTCGTAAGTGAGATCATTATAAGAGTTGCTGCGCTGTTAACTAACAATTGTCAATGTATTGGCATAGCCAGGGTTGCATAGCTTTAAAAATGTATTTTCTACAAAGTATTGTTCAAATTTCTTTGGCTTTCGTGGAATGTACACATTCACATAAAAATATCACTTTAAGACTTAGGCTAGGCCAACAATTATATAAAAGATCAAGGGCAGCACCAGATTGTCCACCTGATCGGTAAATGCCTCAACTAGAGCCGAATTAAGCGTAGCAAAGACAGTGGCAAACCACTTTGCCTGCGTCATGACGACGATGCCGCTCAGCTGCAGCAGCCCAACGGACATCAGAATGGACAGCACAAAGGCAACGGTGCCCTCCAAGGAACGATTAGAGTCTGCAAAGAAATATGATTACATGCTGTATTTAAATATATATTTGGTATACTTACTGGTCCACTTATTGCGTCCGAACTTGGAGCCCAGCACGCTGGCTGCCGTATCACCCACACCCACGGTCAGGATGCCTGACAAGAGTAGCAGTAGCGGACTATCCTTCTGGGCTAGCAGACAGGGACAGGGCGTCAGCCAGATGGGCAGCGCACAGCCAATTAGCAAGCAGAAGGGCGTGAGTGCCAAGCCACCTGCGTCCTTCTCATCCTTGAATGAATCGAAGGCCTGCGCTAGAGTCGCTGCAAATGGCGGTATCTGCAGCAGACGCAGCAGCTCCAGCACCACAAATATGGCCAAGGCAACGCCCGTGGCAAGGTAGAGCAGGGCGCACTGATAGACTAGGCCGGGCACAAAGACTAATACAATGAGCAGATGGAAGACCTTGCGGACGCGAGTGCTCGCCTGCGTGGAGTTCCGTAGCTGCCAGCTGACGGTGCCGCAGGTGATGGCGACGAACAGCAGATCGCACAGAATGATGAGCAGCTAGGCGAGAGGGAGAGATTACTTCTATCGAATATCATCTAGAAAAGTCTCACTCACTCGCAGCGGATCCTTGAATAGGAATTCCAGTAAGGCGATCAGCGGAAGTGGGCGGGTCACAGGTGCACAGGTCACAGCCACCAGCAGCAACGCCATCAGCATATAGAATAGCAGCGTCTTGCGCATAAATCTCACTAAGTACAGCGACAAACAGACAAGCAGCAGACAGAGCAGAGCACTTATCATTATGTCATTTAGTTGATTGAAATCGGTCGACGGCAGCGTCCAAATGCGGAAAATGGCATTCAGGCCGAAGAGCAGCACGCCCTGCACCATGATTGCAGCTTCTCCGAAAGTAAATGTCCTGGGCAGACCACGAAACAGTCTGACATAAACATGCTGATAGACAAAGGTAACAAGTAGTCCAGCAGGTAGAGCGATTGGCCAGCTTCTGTCCACACAGAAACTGCACACAATGCCTGGCAACAGGTGGCTCAGTGCGAACTTAATATAGGGTCCCGTCTCTATGTATGAAGTCAGAAGAAACGAAAGCGTTCTTAGGCACATTCCAATTGCGGCCGCAATCAAAAGCCGATGCACTTCGTCCGATGGGCCACATGCTGGCTGTGTATGCAAATAGCTGGTGACGAGTGCTGCGGGCAACAGCAAACTTAGCCAGCCGCCTGTCGAAGCCAAGGGTCTAAACACACAATTGAACGAATTTATAAATAAAACAAAATATAGCTCTGTTTACCTGGGCAAAAGTCGCTCACGCATATTTCAATATATAAATCTGTTATGCAGCACTTGAAAGGGGTGGTGAGTAATCTAGTAATCCAACTATCGATAACAATATCGCTCCACCGCTGTTAAGCTTAACATTTGTCTAGTGTGGTGGTGCGTTGATAGTCAGTCAGATGTATCGATATAGACCAGATATCGACGTTGCTTGAGTGTAAACATTATAAATTATAAATAAATAAATGAGTCCCGTTTCGTCTGCAGCAGCGTCAAGTTCGAAGACACACCTGAAGTCGCAGCCGCGCGCTTACGTGCCATTATTTCGTGACTTTCGAGTGCTACTAACGCGGCCAAATCGCATCAAAATAGCAACGTTCAATAAATACAAATTGTTGCCCGCTGTCGTGTGTTAAATGTGCATTTAAAATTTCCCCGAAAACGGATAACCGAAAACGGAGTGTTCTTCTGTTTCACACAGTGTATTGTGCCAAATCAGAAATTTTGAATATTTCTGGCCACCAGCAGTGCATATACGAATATCAAACACACATACACACTCACACACACACACACTGTGCTGCTTCTTCAGTTTAATCTATTTGTTATTGTTGCCGTTGCTGCTGATTTGAATGTCCGAAAATAAAGGCATCATGCTTGCTAAATCTATGCAAAAACACGCTGGACGTGCCAAGGAGAAGGTAAGTTAAGATTACTAAAATATGTGTGCTGAAATATGCGTTTGTGTGGGTGCAGTAATTGGGGCAAGCAATTGGTGACATTTTCTAGGGCGTGTATTGCACCGCCCACTGAAACGCCCAACTGTAAAACAGTGTTTGGGGGCCGTGTCCCTGTCCTATTTCCAATGGAGCAGCCGACTGACTGTGTACAATTAGAAGCTCTATAAAATTCATTGATTCCAGCTAACACAACATACACACTCAAACAAACGGTTGAGCAAAAGAAAGTGCAAACAACTTCATACACATCTATGTTTATGAGTGTTGTAAAAGCTGTCACAGAAGATATTCCAACGCCACCTGTCGCAAGGGCTCTGCAATAGGAAGCACTTCTCTTCGTATTTTTGTTTTTGTTTTTTTTTTTTTTTTTGTTGGGAGATCAAGTTTCTGGTTACAATGATTTTCATCGCTCAAAGTCTGTCTTCTTCGCCTCTGCCTCTTGTCTTCTGCTTCTCGTGTTTCATCTATGCCGCCGCTGCGTGCACAAGTGAAAGTTTGGCGCTCAAGCATTGGTCCAGGAGCGGCTGCTCAGCTTTAATGTGAATGTCAATAAACGCACACAGGCACACACACCTAAACCTATACCTATGCCTGTGAGAGAGTGTAAAAGAGCTGCATTTTGACCCACTCGCTGGCACGTCGCGATGTCTTGTAAACAAGTTTTCGGCCACTGCTAAAGCAGCATTCCACAGCGGCTAGAAAATGCTGTAATCTAAGCTCTGAATGATGCTTTTTCTTTCTTTCGGCAGTCTTACTAGTTCGCTGTATTGATTTGTTGCCATCTCGCTTACACTCTACCAATCTATCTCTTAATGTGTGTGTGTCTTGGCATTTACAGTTGAATTTCTAAAAGTTCGTTGGTATTTTCTATGCTGTCTGCTCTTTGGGATGAGGATGAGCAGCGCTTCGCTCGTGTTGGTCATTAAACTTGAACGAAATTCTTTGGGGCCTTTTCTAAATGTCGTATTGCAAGTTTTGAGTGTATTTTTAAACCTAACAGCTCAGCATTCTATTTACTCACTACTTCCTGGAATGCAATTGGAATAGATTACCCATTCGCATTAACTACATTACAGTAAACACTCGAAAGCTTGAATTTCCGAAAAGTAATAAATATATACTACTAATTTTGTATTCCGTTGCGAGGGTTCAATGTTATTTTTGTTTATTTATTTATAAACTAAATATACATATAAATAAAGAAATATATATATATATATTTTTTTTTGTCATGTAGAAAGTCTATATATGTAAATTAATATTTTATTATTTTTGTAAAAAAATAATTTTAATATATATATATATATATATATATATATATATTATTATATATTATATATATATTATAATATATAATAATATTTATAATATTTCTGCAAACATTAAACATTTTTTTTATTAGCAAATTCCAAGTTTGTATATTTGTTCAAATGAATTAGTTCTGGATCCGATTCGCTCTAATTAGCAAGCACTGTAAATTTGTGTGTGGAAGCACGAATTCGTCTTTACACCATATCCGAAAAATTTCTAAACGTTCTAATTTCTTTTTAAAATCTGTGCAGAGTGTGGAAAGAAGCAGATTTCGGATATTTCATAATTTGCGTAGAGTTTATTTTTAAAATTATAGACTAGTTTGTACTGAGCACGTTTCGGGGTGCTGTGCTGCGCTGCTGCCCGGCGCTTTGTATTTGCGCAGTGTGTGCTCATTTCAATAAATGTACAATTTGTAATATATGAGAGATAGTGAGGTAGTGAGATGGTCAAAGAGAGAGAGAGATTAAGATTATGGGTGAGAGGCGGAACAAGCTGCTTTGAGCGCGCGCTCCTAGCAAAGAAGACATACAGCATTTGGTTTAGAGAAAACTTGTCAAATCGAAACACACATTCGTGGCATAACTACAAGATACACAGTCGCTCGCCTAGATACATTTTCATTTTGGGTGCGTGACTGGCCCAACAACGTGAAAATGTCGCCTGGCAGTCAATCTTTAAATAGATGCCTCTTCACTCTTCCATTTGGCTCTAGTAGATACAAATGTATCTTTTGTTTTATAACTTGTCGCCTTCGATTTTTTTTCTTATAGATATCTTAAGTTTTGTTTTTCGCATAAGCGACACAACACTTTTCTATCGCATAAGTAATTTAATTTTAATTTATTTTGTTTCGTGTGTGTTATTTTTTTGTTTTCTGTTTTTTTTTTTTGCGAAATTTCGCCCGCGTTGCTGTCTCGCATATTTGTTGCTATTTTTAAGCGCGTCCCGCAGCAGCTGCCAAAATTTGGTTTTCTCTTTGTTGCTGTTGACTATCAACTATTTCCCACACCCAACTTCTCAGTCCCTGCATCTCTCTCTCTTCTCCTCTCTGCCTCTGCTGAACTGCAGCAGCGATTGACATTTTATTGGCAGCTCAATTTTTAGAAACTCACAAACTTGCCTGTTGCATATTGAACTTCGTGTATGTCGCCGCTGTAATTCAGTCTCTGCTGCTGCTGCTGTTGCTTCTTCTCCTTCTTCGATCTTTAAATGTCAATTGTTTTTATTTGAGACAAGATTGCGTAAAAAGTCACTTATTTTCAGTTGTGCTGTAGTAAAAATAAAAAAGTGCTAATCAAAGCGATAAGCGAAGTCAAATCGATTTCATACAGATTAAATGTTATAAGCATTGTTCATTCAAAATTTCCCATGGTTTTATTCTATCTAAATTAGTTTTGTGTAAGCACTATTCAGAGGTAAACTTTACTTTTAAATAGGCCTTGATTAGCCTGTCTTTTATTGCTTCATGTTTATTGACTTCAGCCGGAAAACCTCTTGAGAGACGTCGATAAAGGTGTGTGACTACACGGACTAGCTCAATAATCAATTGCAAATCTATTAAAACACATATTCAGCTTGATCAGTTATCACTCATTTCATATATAATATTTACCTATAGCTTCAGGTAGTCTATACAAACGCTGTTTTAAATATTTATATTGCATTTTATAGGGAAGCCTTGCAGCAAGAATCATATTCGTAAGTTTTAAGCAAAATATTATTTCTGTAAATATTTTGTTGTTTAAAACTTTCCATGCTAAACACTCGATGCATAAGGGCATATTCTGCTGGTGTTCCATTGCAAACTTCTGTTTTCCCAGGCGCAAACATGAAGTTCTGTTGTTACAGTAATCCAAAACCCAAAGCTAATTCAATTCGCGAAATCGAGTCGATGGGTTAGAATAAACAAGTATTTAAGTAAATACTTGGAATTGATTGGGCAGCAAATAAGTGAAGCGCCAGCAGTTTGTAGCTGAAAAATGAAAAGCGTTTGAGTTTCAGATTTAATAAATATTTTGACGATTCGCCTTGCTGGCTTTTACGACCATATTGATGAGCAGGTGCAGTGCATACGCCCCCCGTCAAGCAAATGGGGGGTGTCTACTCCAGCTGCAGATCACAAATTAAGTGATTCAATCGAGCGCGCAGACAAGCGATTACAACTGCTCGAATGAAGTAGATGTATAGTATAGTATAGTAGATGTAGATACAAGGCATTGTCGCAAAAGCACACACACATAGCTTTGAATACGGATACAATTCATGCTGACGTGCACTGATAATGGTCTGTTGCGTCTTTGTGTGTGTGTGCTATAAGCCATTTGATTATGGGGTATATATAGAGAGGCGAGCTTATTAAAAAATTCAATTATAGAAATTGCCAACAATAATCAACGCAAAGTGACGACTGCGCAATGTGGGAAGCGTTTTTTCTTTTTTATATATATATATTTTTTCTTTTCTTTAATGTTTTCTTTGATTGAATATGTCTCGTCACTTGGCTGATTGCATAACAATTGAATTACGTTTAGACATTTATCGGCACTTCACTTGATTCAGTTTATGCAATTGTCCAGCAGCCACTACAACGGACGTTTCAATAACTCAACAGTTGCCCGGCTCTGCCAACTGCTCCGTCCTCCCACACACAATGGTTAGTCAGACAAATTGAGTTCCCTTGCTGGATGTTCTTCGAGAAGTCAAGTGTCGGCGCATGAACCCTGCTGATTTTCGTACAGATCACAAGTGCTTTGCTTCAACACCTTTGCGGCCGCTATTAAGCGCCCAAGTTTATATCATTCATTCAAAAACAAAATATCCACACAAAAAACAAAAGCAAAAACAATAAGAAAAACAATAATCATTTCAAGTGAGCAGCGCCACATTTGAAGTGGTTGGCAAGGTCAATTAGTATTCGCATTGCTCACGGGTCGAATACGTAATTTTGTGTGTTGTTAACTTTTTATTAGCTGCGGCCTCACGAACACACACCGCCAATGATACATCAGACATAGAACTTAGCACAATGTACTCGTCCGCGTACTGCAATTAATACGATCGTGTGATTGAATCGATGTCGACTCTATTCATGCGTCAAAATGTGCTGCCATTAGCCTTAGCCTTGATCAGTCTTAACAGCCTTTTTTGCAGCATATATTTTTTGGCAGCATTTTGAAACAGTCCATGTTATATTATATATATTTGGCATGTTTGGAATGCTCCCACAGTAGATATTTCAATATGCCAAAGCGAAAGAACTGGCGTCAAATTGTTTATTGAATAGAATTCTATAAATGAAATTTTGGACAAATGCATTAATTACGTATACTGATTGGTAGTCGAGAAATACTATAAGTATTCAATTGTTCTATATAAGAGTACTGCATATCTAAGTATATTACATACTTTTGTTTTGGCTTATGGAATGGCTTATATAAATAATGATTAATTAATTTCGCTTGTATAGTGAAACAAATGATTTTTGTTATTGTTTGGATGAAATCCGTTGACTAAGAATTAAAAATAAATGTGGCTATCTTTCGAAACTCAAGATGATGTGCTTTAATGGACATAAAGCGTTTTCCCAATCGATAATTTTTATTATAACTCAAAATAGTTGTTATAGTCTAATAAATCATTCTAAAAGT